CAACACATATACGGGTGCGCGTGCGACGGAATTCGCCGCACGCGTCTCTCGCTTATGTGCAGCTCGTGTAGAGATACGCCGTGCATCCATAGGCGGATAAACCGACGTCAACGCCGACGCGCGCTGTAAACACACCGCGGGTACATGCACACGCTTAAAATACAATAATATATTATAATGGCTCGGCGCAGCGGCGTCGTAGTCCCGCACACACGTCCCTTCAAAAAAGCTTCGCACGCAGGGCGAGAGGAGAAAGAGAGAGAGAGAGAGAGAGAGAGAGAAACAGAGAATAGTGATTTGCTCGGGCTGTAGAAAATGAATAACGAGAACGAGCGAGTGCTTTGCTCGATTTTCGCGAATACACACACTCTCTCTCGCTCTCGCCAACACTGGCGCAATGCATCAAAGCCTCGAGGTTTTAATAAAATACGTGTTTGTGTATACGTGGGATATGAACTCCCCAATCAGAATCCAACGTAACACACCATCAAACCTGGGCACGTGTGTATGATATACAATACAGTTCGGCGCTGGCTGAGAGTGAGAAACTGCAGCTGACAGGCATTGGTGCCTTGCATTGCACGTCGGTGTGTGCGTGTCTGTGTATTTGTGTACGTGCGAGTATAAGTGTATGAGTGTGCGCAGCAGTCTTCAAAGCAGCCAGTGAGAGAGAGAGAAACGCATATAATGTATATATAGGTATTTGTACATGCATATGCTGACAAGCAAGCATTGTTGCGTAGTTATAATAGTAGTGTCCAAAGGATTGCCTTAGAATTCGATATGCCCTTTGTTACTGTAAAGACTCGTGGCAGAATGGAAAAAGAAGGAAGAATGGGGAAAAAAGGGAGATCCGAAAGACAGAGAAATTTACAAGTGCCGTTCTCTTTTCTTTGCACCTTCGGCAATTATAGCCTTTCACTCGTACGATTCGCTCGTTGACAGAGAGAAAACGTATAGATAGAACACGGCCGAGAGAGAAAGAACAGGCTTCATCGGTTTTGCTTTCGATTCGCGCGCCCGTTTATATAAGAGTAAAGACACCGGACCATCGAGTGCATAGCTGCAGGGCGAGTATAAGCGAGAAAAGCGGGGGGACAGCTGCGCTGCTGCTCAAAGGACTCGTCGAGTGACGAGCGAGCGACGAGCTTGCGAGCTTGCGCGCGGGGCAGGAGGAGGCAAAAAGAGAGATGATAATTTGCCGTAGCAGTCGGCCAAGACTCGAAAGCTATGATAAAAGGACAATGAAGATTTTATAGAGTGGTGTCGATTGACTTTTATGCCGAGGCTATGTACGCTGCTCGAGCTGCAGCTTGCGGAGAAAAAAGCTGGCTTCCCAGCTTTCCCAGCACACACAGCACACTCCCACCGCGAGAAACAAATTTCAATTGTTTTCTGCAAAATGTTGTTCGGGAAATTGCGCTATTTTTTTCGAGAGCCAAGCGAGGAAGTGATTGATCGTTTTTGCGCACGCATGGCAGAGTTTTGATCGTGCTATGAATAATATGGCAGCTGCACACAGACCTCTTTCTGCATAATTCGACGTGGGTGTAGAAATACAACATTTTTAATGAAAGCTTTCGCTGCCTCGTGAATATCGTGTATTGGTCCGAGCCGACATTTTTTGTTGTTGCCATCGTGCGCATACACGAACAAAAAATATTATTAATTTCCATTAAAAGCTGAACAATCGTTGCTGCCTGGGCTATTATATTTATACGTAAAAACGAAAAATCGGCTCAATATTCAACGATCCGCATAATAATCGAAAGCCCGGCGAAGAAAGCCAGCGCAAACACAAGCCCGGGCCAACTCCGTAGCAGCATTTGATGATATTATACGAAGAACAAAAATAAATAGTCGAAGGAGAAGGTAGAAAAAAAAGAGAGAGAAGGCAAGGTATACGTGTGTATGTTATACGTATACAACAGTTTTATGTATAAGCACTACGGGGCCGTGAGCGAGCTTTAATGAGGTTGGTAATGAAAAGCTTTTCGGAGGAAATACAGCCGCGTGTGCACATGAAAATGTGCTCTCCAGCAACGTTAGCCGTTTAATTGCTCAGCTTCTTTTGAGATTTTTGTTCGCCTCTCTTTCTCTCTCTCTCTCTATATATAGTGGTATACATTTATATATATAACACTGGGAGGGATAGTATAGGGCCGGCGTAATCACGACCTGCGCCAACATATAATAAACACGCGTAATACGTACACGCCTGGTGATCGAATTCTTCAACGAATCGAACAAGTACGGTGAAAAAATTTAATGATCCTTTTTTTAACCCTGTGATTACAGCACAATGGCGTACGGCGAGCAGCACGTCGTGGCCGAGCAAGAAACATCATCACTTTTCTCGTCTGCGCTCGGTGCGCGTGAGAAGCGATATATAAGATATATGTAATATAAATATAATTAATTTCACTCGAGGCGCACGCCGACAAATTTTTCATTAATGGACACGTAACAAGTTCCAGACGTTTCTCTTTATTACTCGTGATGCTTTTTTATTATGAAATATGGGAGCGTGGTGCACATTTAAGGGACGTCAGAGGCTCTCGCGATGGAATAAAATTTGTTCGTATCTCAATCGTGCGCCGTGTACTGCGCGGCGAGTTAGCTGTGAAAGGTCGAGAGAGAGAGAGAGAGAGAGGAGGAGACCGATGGTTCTACTACACGCGAAATAAGATGCAAAGAGATTACGCTCTTTTCGCTTCCACCTCTTTCGTTTCGCTTTTTCTTTTTCGTATTTTTTACCCTCCTTTTAGATATAAACATTAAATGTACAAAGTAAACTGTACTGAATCTGAAATAACGAAGGCCTAAAAATCTGCTTTTTCCTTTTTTACCTTTTTTTTTGCAAGACCTAAGTCTTACATTGTATTTATAAGGGGGAAAAAATTGATGACAGTTTGAATGCTAATTCTTTTGCTATGAAACGTATACCAGAGTCCATAAGCCGATTTTACCATCGAGCAAGAAATGTATAATCAATACTGCGTATGTTTTTATGCATTCTTCTTAGTCAGCACTTTTAATGCGAGCATCGTCGTCCCTCTAATATGCAAAATATAGTATTTAATTTACGTATGGCCTTTTTCGGTGCGCGTCGTTTTATCGCCTCATTTAACCACGTGAGCGCAATTAATTTTTTTTCTCCTCGGTGCATAAAATGTGATTTCTCAGCCGAAAAAATAATGCGTGCGGGATGTGTGCGCGCGCGCGCGTATCACAAAGGATTTTTTCTCCTCGTCAGTTTACACACACGCGCCGCAGTACCGACGTGCGCTGGGGCGCAGGAAAAATATATGTTCCTCGCGCGCTCTCGCTATCTCGAGGCAGTACGGCGCCGAGCTTCTCTCATTTAACTAAGCAAAGTTATACACTTCTATTGAGTGAATATTTTTATTTTTCTTTCAAATAAAATGATGATCACGACGTGTAATTTTATGAGCAAATTCAGGAAATATTCAACATTTATTCGTTCAATGTTCCAATTGCGAATAAATAAACTATTAAAAAGTTTCGGAAAAAAAGGCACGAACTTCTCTAATTGCCAATACACCAACGAGACCGTTCTTGTATTTTTCTCTACAAACGAAATGAAAACTACTTTATCGCGTACACAATAATACCAAACGGCTTGTTGTATACGCATCGATCGAACGCAATAAATTCGTAGCTACTTTTCTTGCTCCCCCCCATCTCCCAATAATCTTTAAATGTACAAACGATCGTTAAAATAGAGGGGCAATAATTCTCTCATCTTCGAGCTGGCAAAAAATAAGGGAAAAAATACATTGCCTCCGCTGCGCGGAGAAACTCTGGCGAAACAATAATTAGCGGATGAACACGAGCGCGAGACACGTTACGGTGATAAAGCAAATCAGCGCGCGATTCGGTTTACACGCGTATACCTACACATAGGTACGCGCAGAGATATAGCCGCATACGTATACGCGCGGTATATCAATCGAACTTACGACTTATACCTGTATGGCATACACATGTTAACGAGGGTAAAATATATGCGCGACTAGCAGCGGCTTGACAAATGTTTATGCGCGCGCGTGAGAGGGAGAGGAGCTACGCGGACGCGATGAATCACAAACTCGCCCGGCCGAATGCGGTTACTGGATTAATTTTACACGTTCTGCGTTTTAACGCTTTTTTTCTCTCTCCTCGACTTTTTACTTTGTTTGTAGTTTATAATATACGTATACCGAGCGATGAAATATTATAATTTTCACGTTGTAAAAAAGTCCGGCCCAACGATGGCTTTATTTGACCAAAGAAAACTCCCGGACTTTTCTAGCTGCCCCCTCCCTCCGCCGTTCACCCGAGCGTCCTGTCTCGTTCATTTGTATACGCGCGTAAAAAGCCCGGGTTCAAACTTATACATCGAAACGAACGACGAACAAAGCTCGCGAATTTCCCAGGCTTTTACTTGTATTTATACGCACACACACACACGTACTCGCTCTCACGCACAGTATAGGGCGGCCCGTGCAAAACATCACCACACAGTTAGAACTTGTATACTTATTCGAGCGGCAAGTTGCACGCGCTGCGCTGCGCCGCGAATTTTCGCCGATGCACTGCACGCGGGCGCGTATTTATATACGACGAGCTAGAGCGCGGGAGATGCGCGCGTCAAATTGTATACGTGAAAGAAAGAAAGAGAACGAAATTACAGTCGCGAGCGTGAGCTGAAATCACTTCTTGCGTATATGCGAGTTCGACTCGCGACTTATTCGTTTCTGTTGTTGTTGTTGTTGTTGTTGTTGTTGTTGCTGTCGTTGTTTGCGCGATTTCGCGTATAGCTCGAAGCGAGGCACGGCGCGCAAAGTTCCGCGGGCCAATAATGACAAATGAATATTTGTTTTAACGGCTAAACGCAGCTGCCTCGAGTTCTGCCGCGTGCATTAATACAAACTCGAGAGAATTTAATTACTGGATGAATGTGAGAGAATGGGAATAAAAGCGCGAGTGTGGCTAACCTGTGGCTGGATCGTTGTGCGCCGACGTCCAGGACACGACGAGTACCAGGAACAATTGCCAGGCGAGCACGAGCGAAGCGCGATTATTGTCCTTGCAACTGCTCGCGCTGGTGGACCATTTCCACGAGGACAGGTACATGGTACCGGTGCTCATGTTGTGCCTGCGCTGCGTTGCGTTGCGCTCCCTGCGACGCGGCTGCGTTGACTGGCTGCTCCGCACGCGGCGCGAACCCACGAGACGAGACGGCCTGCAAATACTACAGTGGTAGCTGCTGTAGCCGAGCGTGTGTAGCCACCGCACGAGCACGCGGCCAGTTGTGCGCTCTCGGCTCCTCTTTGCATTTGACGTGCGCTGCTCTGCGAGCCGATTTTGCAGCAGCGGCGAGAGAGTCGCGCGATTGCGCAAGCGCCCCCCGCGACTGCTGCACACACAAACCTCCCGACTTCTTCTTATCCACCTGCACTGCACTTGGCTATGTACTGGGCTGGATGTGTATGCATCATCATTATCATCCTGCATACACACGCACACACATACACATATATTTGCGCGGTACATGCACACGACCCATACTCTACATGTGCATTGCCATCCTGATTCGCTTTCCATCTTTATTTGCTTAAGATGGAAGAGTAGGAGTTAACTCGGAACAGTTTAAGACGAGCAAAGCCTCTGGCTCGATCTATTTCCGGCGCAAATAAATCACATTTTTCAGCATTAAAGCTACAGTAGCTATAGTATTTTCAGCGACGCAGACTTTTGTTGATTATTTTCTTCATTTATTCCACTTGTAAACTATTGCATGATTATCTAACACATGCTTATCCAGCAAGATTCTTTAATTTCATAAAATCTTACTTCTTGCAATACACCGAAACTATAATAAAGTAATCGAATCAATATTCTAACAGTAGAATTAGAATTTAACCCATTTCACGCTTATTATATTATTTATGCTCACTGTCATTTCTTCGATTTATTTCATCCGAGGAACAATTTTAACATTTTCCATCAGTTATTCTCTATTTCTTTTGAAATAATCAAATTCTATTTTTGGTAATTTCATAATTTCGAATGTATTTCTTGTACGTGATATTTCACGTTTTATGAGCTCTATTGAGTACATAATCAATAACCACTATCGGAAAAGTTTGACAAATTTTTTATTTTTTAAATTGACATTTGTAGAGGAAAATGCAGACAAAAATTTTCATTCATATTTATGGACATCAATAGTCTTTTCTTATACATCAATAAATGAAGTGGAAAATATCAAACTGAATGAATTTGATGAAAAATTGAAGGATATTAGCATCGCTTCAATTATCATTCATACATATTTTACAGTATATGATTCAATTATGGAAAGGTATATGCCCCTATTTCCGGTCAGTTAAGCCCCAATTTTGGTCAACTTTGAATTAATTTTTTCTATAGGATCGAAACTTGATATCGGAATTTGAATAGTATGTTTCTGTTGAAGATGTTTGATTCATTCAGGCAATTATTAAAAACAAATTTTTACGTATAATTACGTTATTAATATTAATTATTCATCAAATATAGAGACATGACCGAAAATAGGGGCGCATACCTAAATAAGTATTATTCAAATCAAAAAATCGTCTATCACTGTAAAATGTAATATTTAAATATTTTCGAAAAATTTTATGCCGATAACCCTAAGCCTGCATACTTGAGTTTCAATCGAATCCAATTTCATCGAATATCCGAAAATATTATTCCAAATTTTCTAAATAATTTCAACGGCACTGTTGAAAATATTTACGTTGTCTTTTGTAAAAGTAGATGTTTTTTGCCTATATGTAGATAAATTCAATATTATGTAAAATCATTAAAATAAATGTGAGTGAAGCCAAAACATGCTAGAAAGAAGGTGTTGAAATATTAAACTTGAGCATCTATAATTATAGAACACTCGTATAATTTTTATGTTTTCTACATACATACATGCTCGTTGCAGCTGCCCTGCAGAAGAGTCCAGCAGCAGGAGAATATGGAAGAGATGCTTAAGGTGTTACGACAAACTAAGGAAGTTGCAGAGAAGCATCAGGAGGAGCTGATCCTGCCGGAACAGAAAGTGATCGCTCAGATTCCACCACTAACAGTTCAGCCTATTTAGCCACTTCTACCAACTTCACCTGTTCGGACTTATAGCCGTAGCAAATAGTGAACAATTTGAGGTCGTAGTGGACTGTACTATACATTATCCATACAAGAACATTAACGGCAAATTGAAAAACTTAGTGCATAGTAGCAAATTTTTACAGCAACAGATCAATTTGTCTTTGTTTCTTCCAACCAAATTAAAGAGACGAGGGAACCAAAGTTTGTTCTTTTTGACAGAAACTTAGCAATTCAAAAAAAGAATTAAAACGTGAAATTGTATTTGGATTAACATACGTTTTTAGATTTTTCAAAACAAACATTAGATTCGAGGGACGAAGAATTACTATCTGATTTGCTGGATCGTTAAAATTGTAAAAATTTATGGCTCAAATAAAACGTACTTCGTTATAAATTTGCTCCAAATTATATGATTATTTTGACTTTGTCACTTGCAGATTTACTGATGATCGTACTCGCCACTAGTGGAGAAGGCTGGCATTAGCCTATTGACTTTGAGCCGTGATGGTAGCGCTGCAAGAAAAGTAGTCCATTCAACAAACTATATTATATAACCAATTTATTATCAATAGAAAAAAATTAACGTACATAATTGTTTATTTGAAACTAAAGACTAACAGCTGTTATTATTAATTGTACGTTAATTTTTTTCTATTGATAACAATTGGTTCCTATAAGATACATGTATTTCCTACAGAGTTGCAGGGTCGCGTATTTTGTTGAACGGACTACTTTACTTATATATCGCTGCTCAAAGCTAATAATGTGAGTAAGTATGCAAGTTTGTGCATAAATCTTCAGTTGTATCAAAACTATACGGATAGTTAATGTTTTTTGGTGAACATTTTCAACAAGGAGTTTTTAGTGTATTTATTTCGTACTCGGTGTTAGTTTTGTCATAAATAAACATTATTCATACATAATTAAAAAAAAGAAAATCGTCACTTATTGATTGAAATTTTTTTCTTACAATCAATTTTCTATTTTTTTCTAATTTTGAAGGGCCCGAATAACACCTAAAATCGAATCTTACTCTAAATCTTAAATCTAGTCATACTGCCGAATTCCCAAAGATGTCCGAAAAATCCTGTAAAAATTTATATTTTTGGAACGATTTTTAACCCTTCTTATTTTATATAATTTTTTCATTCTCTTTAAGATTGTCAGTAAAAAATTAATAAATATGAATGTCCCTACCAAGTCTAGTCCGTTTGATAGTTTTAACAAGCACCGAATTTCATTTTTTTTTTTTTTTTATTTTTGTAAATAATCACTTGTCAACCTTTATCGAGAAAAGTAGAATGATTCTGAGGAATCTCCATCAAATTCGGTACTTTATAACCACCAAATTCCGACTAATTTTTACAACGAAAAGTTCTCCTTCTCGTTCTTAAAAGAGCTTATATATAGGCCTATATCGGTCCGTGTGAGAGGGAGGAAGTTCAGAGCAGTGCCATGGGGATTAAGGGATACATTAGTTTCTCCAGAGCTTCTTTCTTCCTCCATTTCTGTCCGTCAGGCGAAGTTATGTGCTGAAAATGTACTTTCGTCGAAATGATCACCTTTAAAATATTCAATTAAACGACCATTTGGGTAGCACCACTGCTCGAACGAGTAAGAAAGATCTAACGACACTCGGCGACTCTTTACGACAGTTCAAATGTTACGTTTCTCTAGATAAAGAAGTGCATCAAGTAGGTGCATTTAAAAATTATCCCGGCATTTTTTACATTTAAAGTGAAAAATTTTTTCGCGCAAAATTATTTATACCACGAAGAAAAAACGTAATCATAATCGTTATTTGAGTATTTACTGCTTAACCGTCTGAAAAGGTCTTTAACAGCAGAATCTTGTTGACCGATTAATTAGCCGATTGATGCACGCACTGCGTGCTACGCATAAGCTCTTTAATAGAAAAAAAGTAAGCATGACCCTTGTAGATTCAACACGGATAATAAGCCGCTGGAAAGCAGAACAAACAGTTTTTTTTCCGCGCGGAAGCGACTGGCTCTACCATTCCCGACTCATCGTTGCATAGGAATGTTAAAAAAATACTCGCTGAAACATAAACGTGTACGTCGGCCCGACCGACGCGCGCTCCTGAAATTTATTCTTCTCAAAACTATAGTTGGGCGCGCGCAGCTTGTACAGGTGTATTTGAGCTCGCGCGCCCGTGCATTATGCGGATCGAAAACGAATGAGAGAAGCTCTAGGCTTGCTTGTTTAGGCCGCGCGCACTGCACATGCTATACAGGGGGAAAACACAGATGCACAAGTATTCGCGCACACACACACATAAATAGATCGATTTCAATTTAGCCTCGTTAAGGAATCATGATGACGAGGGGGGTTGGGAATAGCGAGTAGTGCTGGGGGGTAGGAGGAGGGAGAAGGGATGGGGGAGGGATATATACTCTGTGTGTGAGCTAACGAGCTTTCGAAAGTCGTAGATAGCCCGACAAGTTGGCTTGCCTATAATACGCCTCGCAATGCAGAGTAGCGGAGCCTCGACGGCGGCAGTCAGCCTTACGTGCGCAGCGCCGTGCAACAATTCGGCCTGCTTAATTTTCTCTCGCTCCACATAAGACACGTATACACACACTGCGCACTCGGTCGCTTGATCGTGTAATCCAGCGAGTAAGCCGGCTGCTCGCGCGCGTCCGCTTAATCCTGCGCAACGGGTCCAATTTCTCGTCCTGCAGTGTGTCATCCAACCTGGCCCGAGAGAGCTACGACGACTATTTCCTCTTCTTTTCTTTTCTTTTTTTTTTCCTTGTGCTTGTGTGTATCGAAGGATGAAAAAAAAAAGTTCGATTTTACTCGGGCCCGCGAAACAATCGAGAGCGTATACACTTGTGCTCGCGGAGTTTGCGGGCTCGAAGTATCGGGGCTTTTCTAGGAAAAAAAAACCTCGACTTTACTTGCGCTGCGTACGTATATACAGTAGATATAGTATATGTATGACGAGTGCATTTCATTGAAATGCAGCAGACTGATGAGAAACTTAAAAACCCCGAAAAGAGAAAACAAAACGGGGGAAGGAAGTATTGCTTGGCGCGTGGGTGTATGCGTGTGCAGCCAGCTTAAAGGCCGCAGACTCTCACGCGTAAGAACAAAAATGCCGCTGCACACATAGATGCGAGGAGGCAAGTCGGTGTGTGTGCAGCGCCCGCAACGCGCATACATAAACACGCTTTTCCGCGCTCTTACTTAACGGCAAGTGGATGCGCGCAGAGACTACAGCTGCTGCATGTATACACTTGTGTTGTTATTAGACAAAGAAAATAGGCATAGCACGCAAAGCACCTCCAGCTCGAGGTTCGCTCGCTAGTCGGTGTGTGCTGCATCAGAAATGAATAGAGGAAGAAAGAGTGCAAAGAGCATGCGAACTACTCAGCCAAGTGGAATAGCTATATGCGAGCCGCCGCAGAAGCTGCCTCGTGCCTTGCTCGGTGCAGCGCGCCCCGCCTGACCTGCCCCCGCAGCTCTGGCAGCAGCGGTATACAGCGATGCGATGCGATGGACGAGTGAAATTACAGTGTTTTGCCCGCGCGCGGCCTTTCAGCTATGAGCTGCTGCTTCTGGGTGTGTGTAGCTAGCTGCACAACTTGTGCCGGCTGCATATTTTTGCTGGTCTACGCCTGCCAACCTCGTATAGCTGACTGCAGCTGCGCTAGGTCAAAAGTCTACAATCGTTACGGTGATAAGTCTCGGGGTGCGTGGCCGTGCGCCGTCTCTCTCTCTCTCTCTCTCTCTCTCTTCAAATTGCAGGATTTAACCTTGCAAAGTATCCGTCTGTTGCGTGACCAAACTGACTTTTACTTCCCATCCCCCTCGCTTATGCTAACTTACCCCTTTCTTGTTGTGGCTCGCAAAAATATCGAGATTCCTGAAATGTGAAGCTTTTTTCACTGCCGCACTGCCTAGTCATGCTCCCTCCTGCAAAGACTATATATGGAAAAAATTAACATTTATCGAGATTTCGCCTTCTTTCGGGTTTCTTTTTCACGCGGAAGGCTCGCTCGAGCGGATTAACGCATAAGCGGATGCAATCGACGATACAATAAGCGATGATTGGAAATCGATGTGACGATGCGTACTTTGCATAATCGACCGCGATGTAATGATTCGGCGATGCTGATCGCGGGAAAAAATACAATTACGCATTATTATTTGAACTCAATACATATATTTTTTTCTCCTTGTACAATATAATAAAAATTGAATCTTTTTACATCGTATAAGATTTATAACAATATAATAATTCCTTTTAGCATACATTGTGCGTGCAAAAGTACCTATATGCGTAAAAATAGCTTCTTTCTTGTAACACTAACGAGTAAAAATCTTTTTTGATATAACACGATCTAAAGTTACAAATGTGTGAGACCCCTCCCATCACGTTTTGTCTTGGAAGATTAAAAATTTTATTTAAAAATTGTGCTAAAAAATAGACTTGATAATTTCTCAATAAAATGTAATGTGTCTTTACATGGAAATGGACGTGTCAGTCGGTCCAAACAAGATGTGGCCTTACACATACACGCTAAAACGAGAACGATCATAATTTTAAACGCGCAGAATGATTTATGTATACAAACGCATACATCAATAGCTGCAAGGCACTGTCTATATAGTACATAAGGTATGTATCCATAACTCGGCGTTGGACTGGCTGTTTTCCTCTTAATGCACCAGGGAGTAGCGGCCGACGAGGACGACGTGACACTCGTCGCAGACGCGCACCGGCTTCGTCGAGTTCGGCAAGGCGATGCTGTTGTCGCTGCACGAGTTGCAAAATATCTTGCCGCAATAACGGCAATGATGCTGAAAAAAGACAAAGAGAAATGAGGATTCAATAATAATTATGAAATATACGCGCGAGCTGCGAGAAATATTTTCGGATAATTGGATCGTCGTGGCATTAGGAAAACTCGATTATCCCGGCGCAGCGGCGAGAGTGAAAGAGAAAGAGAGAGAGATCCCCGAAAAGTCCATAAATATCGTAGCCCGATGACAAGCCAGCTCGGGGATAACTACTGCATCTTCGCATTTGGAAAAATATATAAATTATGCTAGGGGACAATGTTCAAAGGTTCAGGAATGACACGGTGCACTTGCGAGTATGTGTGTGTGTGTGTGTGTGTGTGTGTGTGTATGTGCATGTTGTACGTATATTAGTTTGCCGATAAGAGAATTGGATCGTGTTAATTATTGAAGCTATCCGCACCTGTGTGACTTATTAGAGTTCGACCAGAAGACGTGTAGCTTTTAGAGAGCGCGAGAATAAGTTCGATTATTATCCGATAGGGTTTCGAAATAGTAAAGTCATGAATCTTGAGTATACCACCGAGTTATATATCGATGAATCCCGCAGGATTGGACCATTAGTCAAACTAAGTTACTCTTTTTTACCATGAAAATTGGGATTCGTCGAGTTATTCACATTCTTCTCGAAATTGGCAAAATATTATGATTGCGACGACAGCGACGACGATAACGTAATAAAGCAGCTCTATTCATGATATGCTGTATATGTTAATACGCAGGCAACGCTCGGGGGCTTGGATGCAGTGTGTTGCGCGCAGGGCGCCGCACGCGGGTGGGTAGGTACAAAAAAAATAGGCGTCGTTATAAGGGATATATTCCCGCGAGGCGAGCTGCTCTCTCTCTCTGTGCGGCCTTGTTATTATGCAATAACTTACTCACCCACGCGCCGCATATGTTTTTGAGCGTGTGTAAGTGTGAGTACAGCTATGTGTTTCTAACGAAGCGTATACTTAGGGAAAATTTCACATCCGACATCTCTATCGCGACGACGACGACGACGACGACGACGACGACTTGGCAACTTTTTCGCACCTATGCATATTAACAGCTGCTTTTATCGCTTATATTTACCGATCGGCGATAGCGAGTTCGCCGAGGCGATGATGTCGTTGTTCTCGGAGATCGTACGATGCCGATATGGGCGTATTTTTTCGGTGACGAGAACATAAATTTAATGCAGATTCGAGACATTTTCGTGGCCTTATAGGGATGTGGCTGACGTGACGACGGGTAATTCACTGTTTTTCGACATTCAGGCTGTATTTTCAGAAAAAGTATCCCCGGCCCCCTGTTTTCTAAATATTTTTCAGCGCGGATATTTTTCCTGCTTACTCGGACAAATTCGCTCGCGATCCTTCTGAAAACATCGGATTTTTCATCGCGGTTTTTTACGGCATTCCGCTCGCGTTCTCTGGTGAAATAAAACTTTGGCCGTACTTTTTAATAAACCCACTTAGGGGGGAGAAAAAAGGCGAAATCCTATAATTACACCTGTACAAGTAATATGTATTATTTGCAGAGCGGATTAAAAGCGCGCGGCATTCTAAGAAAATCAAAGACGTGTACAGGTGGTAGGCTATAATGCTACAAAGAGCATCAGGTGAGCAAAGCACGTTTCATTGAAAGCGCGCAGTAGCTCCGCTGCACTGCCTTCCGAGCTTAACGGGCGTTTCAAGAATCCACAGCTTAAATAAGATCCGAATCCAAAGAGAGATGGAGAGAGAGCGAGAGAGGTAGACTTTCGAGAGTGTCACCGCGAAACAAGCAAAAGAATAGAAACAATATTTGCCCGAAACGACGAGGACGGCTGCTGCTGGCGGAACGACTCATTATTTGGCGCGCTTTATTTCCTAATTAAGTTCTCTCTCGCTCGCTCTCTCTCTCTCTCTCTTTGGATGCACTGAGCGGCGCAGCGAGTGCACGCGTGCGAATGGAAATGGAAGTTCCGAGTGCTCGCAGCCGCCCTACCACCGACTCTACGAGAGATAATTACTGGTAAACGATTAGTGAGAGAAGTTGTTCGGTGAGCAGCAATGCAGCACACTACGGCTCTCTCGCTCTCTCTCTGTATAAACGTGTGCGTGTTATATACCTATACTGCGCTCCCCCCTATACACTCACACAAAGGCGCAAATCAGACCGACGCGCTGCGCCCGGCCTCGGGTAGTTAAAAAGTTTGATTACCTTGCGACGTGCTATGTTGAATTCGCGGCTGCAGCCCTTGCATTGGGTGACCATGCGGTCGTTGGCCCAGGCGGCGGTGCCGTCGAGCTGCGCCTGCTGATGCTGCGCCTGCTGAAACGAGCAGGCCTCGCGCAGCTCTGCGACCGACAGCTTGGCGCTGCTCAGCTGAGCCCCGAGCTCCTCCAAGGTGCGCTCCTGCTCCGAGCAGATCTCCTTGAGGGCGTAGTGCTCCTCTTGAAGTTGCTTGTACTTCTGTGCGAGGCAAAAAAAAGAACGGCTGGCGTCAAGTTTTTTCCGCTCGCGAGAGCGAGGCAAGAAAAGCGCATATACGTACCTCCGACTCCATCTTCAGTTGATCGACCTCTTGGCGCAGCTGGGATATTCTCTCGATATTGCCGATCGATGACTCCTGCAGCGAGGCCCTCCATTCGCGCTCGATTTTCAGTTCTCGCTCGATACCGGTTGCCCTCGCCTCCTTCTCGGCCGCCTCGGCGCCCAAAACTCGTACTCGCTCCTCTTGCCCCGAGCGAACATCCTCGATTGCTTTGTACCTGTGTAGCAGCGATTAAAATCGATTCTTAGTTACGTCTCTCTGTGTATACAGTCTTTGCGGCTACGTGCGTTTGTAATTTAGCTCTACCCGCACACGTATACACATCGAGCCACATGTATGTTTGATCGATAAACTTTTTTCACTTTCTCTCTCTCTCTCTCTCTCACACACACACACATCCATACACATGCTCTCTTCGCGCGCTTTCCATGCCTCAAATATACCCTCGTAAAGCAGAAATCGAGTGCAGTGCGATTGAATCTTGCGCGCAATCCGATTGATTAACTTCGTTTGCGATATGCATTCTATGAGTTTACTTTTGACACGAGACTCCAGTTCGCAGCGAAACGTAATTGATTTTTTTTGGATTTTCTTGCGTTACTTGCTCGAAATATCAATTTTCCTTTTGAAGGTACGAATGGGAAATAATATTCTGCTATAAAAATTATAAAGTTTAGTTTTGAACGAACATAAAAATTATGCTCTTTAATATTGGCATTGATTACGGAACATCATGGTAGCTAAACTTTTTGGAAAATAGTAACCGATAGGTATTTTTGGGAAAAATATTATTAGTATTTTAAAGATTCAATTTTCGTGCATGCATGAGTACAGAAAACGATTACCCCGGGTTAATGTTTTTATTTACTTAATCATTTTTCAATAAAAGGCCATCAATAACAGCATTAATAAATGGCTACTTTTATATTGTTTTATCAATATTTTTCGTAACTTCAAAATTGACCAGGTTCTTCGGAGCGAGGTATTTTTAGGGTATCGTTAGTTAAACAAAAATACAATTAAAGATACACGTAAAATTTTATATGCTAGTAAAAAAGAATATCAACTGTTGCTTGCATGGAATTGTCAAAACAATGTCTGAAATTTCATACGCTTTTGTATTGAAAAAATGTTTTTTTAAATAAAGTACGAAAACGGTTCAATGTTAGTTTCAAAAAATGAATGACCATGAAAAAATAAAAAATTAATGGAAAAAATTAAAGACACGTGATATTATTAAATGAGTTTATAATAGAGTCAATATGTTAGTGAAAAAGGTATTAGTAATTAGTTAATCATATATTTATTATTATTAGAGATTTATACAAGCATTCATAATGTCTTATAGATAGATTGGATTAGATCAAATATAATGTACGGAAACAGAATGTATATTTTTGATCTATTAACATCTGATACATGTTTAATAAAATCACAGTTTTATTAATATATAAAAGTTTTCAATGCCAACGTAACTTTGCCTACATCAAAAAGTCATAGCAATTTTTTTACTATAAATATAGCACTCGCTCAAATCAAAATTAGATACATACATGTGACTTGATGTTTAGACTTTAATATAATGATTATAGAACCTACTTTTCATCCATCCTTTGGATGATATCAGTCATTGAATAGGTTTTTGCTTCCAATTTAGAAATCAGTTCTGTTTTGTGTTTTAGTGAATTTTCGCATTCCTGAAATATATCACAAAAAAACGGAATATGAAGAAAACAACTTGTGCATTGAATTTTTTATTACGGATGAAGGCATAGCTTTAACATAATCTCATGTAAAAATGTATGAATGAAGGTAAAAAACGTCGAGACTTATATAAATCATAATAACATAATTTACACTTAAAATTTTCCGTAGTTCGTGAATATATATACTGTAACATAATTGAAGCTGAAATTAATTGCTACATTTTTGTACCCAAGAAAAGCTTCAAGTAAAATAACGATGTTCACATAACAAAACATTTTTTGTTATAAATAAACGATGGAATCATTAAAACATTTGCTTCGATTGCAATAACATTGCTTAAACTAACACACTTTGGTACGTATGGTTTTTATTTCTTATAAAATGTAAATTATATCGACTAGATTGAAATTTAATACAGCGAAGTATGAATTTGTTGTCAAAAACAACCTTAATTATACGCGTCTCATACTTGTTCGACTAGTTTGATCAATTCGTAAGATTTAAGCTTTTTTAGATAAAAAAAATGAATGTTCGAAAAGTGTTTATTTTTCCGCAGTTGATTCAGACTTTTCTTTTTCCCCCGGCGTGGACGAATCAACTTTACTTGCTTTTCCAGTTGACGAGGTTTGTTTACCCATTTGAGAGCCGCTGGAAAGTTTGGTTTCCAACGGCCCGCAAATAGATTTTGGTCGTATCGCAGGTGCGTGCGGAGTCGACGGACTCGTACGATTCGATATTGTTTTCGCGGTTCCACACGGTGTTGTGGGACTACGCATACTCTCGGCGTCCTTCATTATATGATTAAATTTTTCGAGATTGCTCAGCAACTTGCCGATTTGATTTGTTTTTGCGTGCAATCTGCTCACGAGCTCGCCTTTTTGTGTCAGCTCGAATTCACATTCCTATAAGTTATAACAGTTTTATCGATAAATGTGATGATCATGACAACAATGAAATAAAAATAACGAAAACGGGAATTCTGGTTGTGGTACTGCTAAATTTTTTCTATAAAATTGAAAAAAATATGTTTGAGTGTTTAGGTATTTGAGGACAATAGATTATGTACATATAATGAAATAAAATGATTAGAATAAACATAAGACAAACAAATGACAATCACCTGAAGCTTTTTATACATTTCCAAGTTAATTTGCTTTATATCATCAAGTTGCCTCCTCAGCGATACAATAGTGTCTTGTTTATCATGAATATCTTTTTCTAAAAGCTTCATGGCAACTTCCATTTCTGATTTCATAGAAACCTGTGAAATATATTTTATAATATTTAAATTTGATTGAATGTACATAAACTAAATTTATTTTAATTTGATCAATCATATGGACCTGCATTTGAAGTTCTTTTTCAGCTTCTTGTCTTAATTTTCTTTCCATTTCTAATCGACACCTAAGCTCTTCAGCTTCTGTAGTTGTTTCAGTTATTTTGAATGGAACTTTACTTATCTATTTTAAAATAAACATTTTCTCATTTTATTTGATGTAAAAATAATTTTGTCCATTATAAAATTTTGTTAAAATTACCTCATTCTCTTTGATTTCGATTCCTAACTCTTTTTTTAACTGTTGATTCTCATAATGAAGAGAAAGAAGGTTATTTTTCGAAATCGACAAGTCTTCTATCATCAACGCATTCGTCGTCGTAAGAGATTCAACTTTGGCTTGGAGATTTTGCACTGTTGCACTAAAAAAAGTTTTATGTTTTACAAATCGTGACAATAATAACCATATTATCTAATTATTTCTTACTTTAAATGCCTATTCAATTCTTCAATATAGTTTTTTTGATCCAGAACCGTAGTCATATTATCATTATCAAGTTCATCATCTGGTGACTCTCCAGGTATGTGGTTACTATTTCTGAGATACAGTGAAAAATCAATAACACCTTGTTGGCAATCCAAATCTTCTTCCTATTGGACAATGTTTTTTAAATTAAAAAAATTGAATTGTATACAATAAATTACAAGGACAATCTCAAAAAGAATGATTTCTTAAAATGTTATATTTCAAAGTACTTTTTATAAATTGTGTCCGAAATCTTTTCAAAAGTATAATTTCTATTTTATATCAAATTGTAAATTATAAAAAAACATATGTGTTCGAACATTATTTAAATAAAAAATTATTTTTTACATTTTAAGATCAATTTATAATCATGTTTTTTCATTTCATTTGTATTTTTTCATAACGAATTTACCTTAACACAAAAATTACAATCTATTACGTTCAGACCAACTAGCAGTCCCATTATGACTATTGCTTCATCGCTCATCATCAAGGCATCAGGTTCAAAATACTCTGCAAGTAGATCATCTTTGTGATCTATCAATACTTTGAGGTAATCTGCGAGTTTCTTTTGCATTAGTGCCATTCTCAACCAGGCTCGAGCTCTACCCATTGCAGTTCTAAAATTGATAATTTAATTAAAAACTTTTGATCATTATGAACGTTGAAGGGATACAATTAAGCCTACCTCACAGTAGGTAAATCACGTATGCTAGAAGTCATATCTTGAGCTTCAGGACAATACTTTTCAACGAGCTGAAGAATATCCCACAACTCTTTCTTTGGTCCAAGTAAGCCCTACAATTTTTTCAATAAATTAATGACTTATCTATATCATTTGCGTCATTAATTTCATATTTTTTACCTTTTTAGGCCTCAATCCATGTCTTAACACGTGTTCAAGAACGATGAAAAAATGTTGCAAAGGCATATGATCAGAATCCAACATGCGTCCATATTTTAAGGAAGTTTCAATGAGCTCTTTAACGATGAGTTTTGATATATTTACTAGATTGCTCCGCTCAATTATCACGGGATCTCGAGCTAAAAATATATTCGATTTTGGAAAAAATAGCAAAAAAATTGTTCTGATAATTATATTTTCAATATGACATATAATTAAATTCGATGATAAAAATTTTGAATCCAATCAATGAAGGGTTGCTACAAGGTGATAAAACAAATTTTATCAAAACATACATAGGTGAAATGCTCTCTATGAAACCATGATTTATATGAGTAAAAATAAATTTAAAAGGTGAAAGGATTTTCATTCACACAAAAAGTCAATGATAAAAAAAAATACGAAGCAACAATTCAACTGCAAACCAAAATCGAACTAAATCAACAATCAAGATTTAAGATGAAAAAGAAAAGTTGATAGTAAAGAGTGCATCACATCAGGCAAAGAAAATACAAACACAAATAAGACTCGTGCTGCGCAGTAGGTGATGAAAGAATATCGCCATCAATAAGCTCTGCCTCATCATCGTTTGGTTGATGCATTTCACATCGACTACCTATTGGTATGATGTCTAATGGAGGAGACGGCGAACGTTGCATTGAGTCGGCCATCGCGTAATCGACGTCTTGCAGCTCCTTTAGACAAAGCCATTCTCCGTCGACCGATACTCGAAAATTACATAAATAAATCGTGTCTTGGGCACTACCCGCTGTCTCTTGATCCAACATTTTCTCGCTATCTCGTCTGTCTCTATTCTTTTTCAATTGATTTTGTCTTTAATACTCTGGGGCGAATCATCAAAATACTAGGCACATGCGCAACACAGCTGATTTCTATCTGCCCGAAAAGTTGCAGATAATACCAAGTTTCTATAAATCTGCTTTTTCTTGATTTCAATAAGTAATGGCCAAAAATATGATTCACTGTACTATCAACACTTAATTTTCTTCAGCCCAATATAAACGTTCGCTTTTTTTTTGTAAAACGACTGAAGTGTAATACTTGTATTGCGCCGCAAGAAATCAATTTGGAAATGTTATTTTGAAAATAAAATGTTTTAGTATGCCACTTTACTTTGCACTATTTGTTTTAATGGTTTTTGAGTGATCAATTTAATTGTCAACAGGACAATAACGAGAGTTTTGATGAGCCTAGCTCAGGCTAAAATTATACTCTGGGTAGCGAAATATCAACGAAACAACATGTAAGCGGCGAAGGAGGTGAATATCGATTTTGCCGCTGACAATGCCTCCACCTACATTAATCAATAAAGCATGGTTGGACTAATGCAATCGTGGTGCCATCTATATTTGCTTATCATAATCATCATGAAACTAACGTTTGAATGTGCTGCAGCTGCATGAACAGCTGCCGATGTGGTAGATATTTTTTTCTTTTTTAGGGTAATAATATTTTATTCCAATTACGCAAAAGATAATTCAAATATTGATATAAAAATTATAAATATTAATAACTAACTTACACTTGTGACAAAGTAATAAAAAATAAATGTTTAAGATGTTTATTGAGAATTGGAACCCATTCATATTAATTAAATATCAATAAAATATTAGAACGAATTATGTTTTCTCGTATGATACTAGTGATTAATTATTGGTGTACACTCATTTTTGTAAGGAAACTGATGATTTCATTGCATAAATTTTCATTTTCAGTGCTGCATTGAATTAAAGGATGTGTAAATTTGAAGAAAAAAACATGTATTATGATGTAATAAATAAAACTAAATACTGAACATTTACGAATGATCATTTAACTTTCAAATCCTGTGGGAAGTGTTGAAAATCTCCCTATAAAATTGAGTTTTTAATACTCTAATAAATTAAAATAGTAAACTTTACATGCGAATCTAACAGGTAGCAGTACAAAAAAAAAATTAAATCATGCCGCCCATTAGACGCTTTTAAGTTGTCACGTGGCTCGGACTTATACTGTTTGCTTACTACTTTTTACCCAACAAGCACGCAAACTAATCGTACAGTTCTACTGATACACAACAATTGAGAGTTTTTTTATCTCATTTAGTTTCATTTTTTTATCAAAAATGCAAAATTAAACTCACGTCTCGGTGTCCACCAGGGATCTAATTTCCTCGGTCTCGAAACAACTAAATCTGGCCACTTATCTTCTTTGATAGAATAATTACTAGTGGAATGTTCACTTTCAGATTTTATGCTATTTGTCATGGATTTTTCTGACGGAGATGTTGGTTGGATATCAGCTGACTCTTTAGCCGATGCCATCGTTAGCACTTTGTTTTCAAAACCAATCGATATTCACTCACGAATATTAAATAAATCACAAAAACACTAACGACTAAAAACACTAAATTGTTTACCACATCAACACATTACTCAATGTTATTTTTTACTCGCGTGTATAAAAAGTAGAAAGACAAGGTTATGAGTTTGAAACGTTTTGATTTGATCGACTAAACTTTTTCATCAAAAAACTGTGTACTAAACATCAAAGTCAGCAAATAATAAAACAGTCTGTGAGTGTGTAAACTCACACAGATAAAGTACCGTAATACGAATCCGGATGACATGTTATGAATGCTCCATATGCATAAAAAGATATAGAATGCACAACATCTTTATTATTGCTGCCATCTACTGTAGCCGGCTAAAACTAATTTTCTCAGATGGTAATGTTATAGTATAAAAGATTTTTGAAATGAGATTTTTAAAATCTTTTGAAATAATTAATATCTATTGAATTTTATAATACGTATAACTTATGTTTAAAATCTTTCATTATAAATATTATAAAGCTGATAAAACATAAAAAAACTTGTAAATAATATTTTTGAAAAATTAAACTTACTGCAACTATTTCCAGAATTGATGAATTCGGAATATTAAAATTTCTGAAAATAAAATAGATCACAAAAAGTTTATAAAAAGCTGTATGAATTTTTTTTTAAATATATTTGAGCCTTTTCTTTGCGGGGATCGCAGTGGCTAGATATGTAAAATATAAATGAAGGACAAAATTACTAACTACTTGTGCAGAGTTTGCAAAATGGGTTGAGAAAAATAGAAAATTGAATAATATTGGAGTGATATTGATTTTTTAGATCATTTAATTTAGATAATTTATATTGATAATTTATAGATAATTTAGATTGAGATTCGTAGTTTGAGCAGTTTATCCAAAAAGTAACAAAAAATGAAGGTGTACCCCTTATTGAAATAAAAACAATGGACAAACTGCAGCAGCTGCAAAATGTTGGATTACTACTATCAGCATCACATGTACACATACAAAAATTTAGTCATATATTCGATCTAATTTACGCGAATACAATTTTTTTTCAAAACTTGTTTTTAAAAGTCATTTTCAAAACGATCACAGAGCTTCATCTGGGAAGGGCCAGTATTGAAATATCTCATGCAGATTGATATCAACGATTTTGAATTATTTTCCTTTGCATTATTGCACTTAGGAAAAATACAAAGCTCAAATAAATCAAGGGGTTACACTAGTCTTAGTTTTAATGGAGCTTAAGCACGTTACGCCTGTGTACGTGACGCTCAAATGATTATTAATGGATTCGACTTTAATTAAGTTAGAAGTACCCTAGAGCTACAGGAACTTTTTACTTTCAAGCTCTAATTGCAAATCTATAAAACAATATATTTGAAACATTTCACTTTTGTTACTTGGGTTACTTGTGAACTACTATTCAAGTATATAAAGTAAAGCTACAGTAGAGTCTTGATCATTAGCTAAAATACAAGTATTGTGACTTATTTGAATTGTCAAGTATTCTGTGCAGATGTCCCCCTCGATTAAAAACTATAATCACGATCAAAGCAGCGTTTGCCAGCTGTTAATTTGCTCGCGTGTTTCGAGCGAGTATTTTAAATATGTATACGAAGAATAAATGGGTGAATGATCAATGGACTAATTAAATATCACGTGCAACGTACAAAAGATTGTCCCTTTACGCTTATGTGAAATCGAAGATCAGAGCAGCAAAAATAGAAGATGCGCACGCAGCAGCGGTAAGCGGCGGAGTACAGCGACTATAATGATACCAAAGGGGACTTGATATGTCTAAGTTGCTCATGCTATCGAACAGTTCAAAAGTGTTTCTAGTCACGGTGATGGCAGTGGAAAAGTGACCATCGATGGGCTAATAGGATTTCAAATTTGCCGCATTTTCGTTGCAAAAGGTACAAGGTTCCGTGAAGGATATTTTCATAGACGCTTGAAGTAAAAATTTGCGGCTACACAACTGTCAAACATGTATGGAATGCTATTAGAAAGCGTGCAGCACTTTGTGCAGGTAAAGTATAACTTTTCCATGAAAATTTTTATTCATAAAATTAAAGAAATACTCTCGGTTTATGAATTAATATTTTTTCGGACAATCTGTCGTTTATCCTAAACATTTCTACTCTGCGTAATGAGTGGTGTAATATAATAGCTGACTTGCAAAACGACTCAATTGTTAAAAAATAACGAGATATATTTCGCACGTTGTTGTAAAAAACAATAGTTCATAGAATTTTTCCATCGGGAATAAGTACTGTTACAAATAGTGCATTTTCATAAGTAATAAGCCCGGATATTTCTATTTTATTAAATAAATATAAATTTTGCAGCTATTGATCATTTATGAATTTTAAAAATACGATAAATATACTACGTGAAGAATCAAATTATCTCACCTTGTGTCTTACTAAAAGCAAATTCTCAATAGAATTGACGTGAGCTAACTAGATAATAAAAAGCGCTTGAACGAAATTTTCCACTTTAAACGACACCCTAACGTAGAAGGATACATATTTTATTATCTTTTCACGTCAGTTACTTCTTTTGCCTACAGTCATGCTCATATTTTTTCGAGCATGCTATAAATCAAATTATGAACGAATTCCTGAAAAAAAAAGGAGAATGAAAATCATGTCAATAATTTCAGCATTGTTTTCAAAATCTCTCGGTTAATTTTTCTTGGTAAATAGCCATTCTAACGATTATGAAACTCTAAATTGGAAACATGCTAAAACAAATATTATGAAATCTTGAACTTAAACGATATTGCACACATGCAACCTAAATTCAAGGTTTTGAAAATACATTTTTAATAGTTTCAAGTATAAAAATTATATGTTTTTTGATTAAATACATAAATTTTGTTGACTTCCGCAGGAAAAGTACAGCGAAGATTTATGGAACGCTTTAATGAAAGAAACTGGTGAAAACCACGTGATTTTTAATACACGTCAAATATATTCTGATGATTTGATGGGAAAGCTGGCGGCTGCACTCGCTAAACGAACAAATAGAAGTGTTGACGATGTTATGACATTTTTTGGGCGCTGTTTCGTAAAATTTTTCAGTAATCTTGGGTAAACTTGCAAATCCACCAGTTAATAAATTTGTTTCATTCTTTTAAAATAATCAGAGCTTCACTTGATTTTAAAGATACGACTGCACGATCAAAGCAACCGGACGATTTTTTTGTGATTTTCTGCAAAGCGTTGACAATATTCACATGCAAATGCGATTCACTTATCCGAAAATGAAAAGCCCATCGATGTATTTGACAGCATGTGATGCCCATGGCGTAGTACTGGTATACAGAGGAACTAGACCAGGATTTACTCATTATCTTATGGGTAATAAATTTCAACTTTATCAAATTCTTAGGAGAATATCTTTTACCGATCTATCAAGAAATTATATACATTACTTGCATAACTTATTTCTCAGGACAACTTTACGAGATCGCCGAAGACCTTTACAATATTAATCTTGATATAAATGTGCTCGAAAGTTCTTTATTAACAAATACCAATGGGAGTTTCAAAAGTGCGGAGGTTACATTCCGTATCAATTTTGATAACAGCCAATACGTAAGAAAAACATTTAAAAAACCTAAATATCAGCGAATTTTTGTATAAAAATGTATTCATCTGCAGATGGAAAAAATTACAAGAATGAATACTCCAATTGGAAGGCAACTTTCACCAGTATCTTTCACAGTCCTTTTACGCTTATTCCCGTTCGGCGTTGTTATTGATAAAAAAATGAAAATCATCGGAGTTGGCGAAAGGATTTTACAAGCTTGGGGAAGTTCAACTATTTTGGGTAAATCTGTGTCAGATATCTTCAAAATTCGTCGACCAAAAGGTGTGAATTTCATTTGGGGAAATGTGAGTAAATTAATGTCTTAGTTGTCAGTATAAATAAATTAGAAAACGAATGAATTTAAAACATTGTTTTAATGAATTTTTATTGCATTGTCTTACAGGTAATGTACTTGCATTCAGTAATGTTTGAGCTAGAATTTTTAAGACCACCTGATTTTAAAAAGACAAGTGAAAATTACGAAGGTGATAAAAATACTCTCATCAGCAGCAGAAATATTTTGCTCAAGGGACAAATGAGGTACATTGAAGACATCGATGCCATAATCTTTCTCTGCAGTCCATTGTAAGTTTTCACGAAAACTTCATCGCTCTTGATTAACAATATTTTGATACATGATATCATTTACACATCAGAATTAATAGTCTGGACGAGCTACCGAGCATGGGTCTTTACCTGAACGATCTGAATCCACACGGTCTGAGTCGTGAACTTGTCCTCGCAGGGTGGCAACATTGCGGGAGGTAAATGACAAATTGCTATCAAGTTATATATCCATTACGTATGATCGAATTAATCACTCATATTATATGTTATTTTAATGGTTCGCAAAAGTCTGGAAATGATGTGCGAAAAGGCCGAGCAACGATCCAAGGAGCTTGAGCAGAGCTACGCGCTCTTAGACAGATGGAAAAATAAAAGCGACGAACTTCTGTACTCGATGATTCCCATGAGCGTAGCCGACAGATTACGCTCGGGCGTGAGCCCGCTCGAGACATGCGAAGTAAGTATTACAGTGATAAAATAATATCATAATCACTCATGATAATACGAGGATTTGTCTGCGGCCAGACTTACGACGCGGTGACGGTCCTATTTTGTGAGCTTTGCGATTTGAATTATTCGACCATCGAGGACGCCATGGACATCGTGTCCTCTATGAACGCCGTTTTTTCCTGCTTTGACTCGCTCATGGACAAATACAAAGTCTACAAGGTAAATATTTTCCTTCGCTTATCGCTCGTCTGGGTCCGTAATAACTACTATTTCATTAGGTGGAAACTGTCGGACGAGTTTACATGGCAGCCAGTGGAGCACCCGATCGAGTTGAGAACCATGCGATCAACGTGGCTAATGTTTCTCTCGAGCTCATATCTCAAGTCCGATCGCTTGTATTGCCGTCTGGTGTCAATATCGAAGTTCGAATTGGTACTTAAATGTTTTATTTATTAATATTATTGTTTTTTTTCGAGAGAATTATTTCTTTTTTGATGAAAAAAAATTAATTCGTTAGGAATACATTCCGGTGCAGCAGTTGCTGGCGTTGTTGGTATAAAAGTTCCTCGTTATTGTTTCTTTGGTGATACTGTGAATACAGCTTCTCGAATGCAAACCACGAGTAAGGTAAAATCAATGGAATTTCGTACATAAATTTAAAGTAAACATGAATAAATAATCAAAAGTAAATCATTCGACATTAATTAACAAAACGTTGAAATCAATTTTAGCCAGGGAAAATTCATATTTCACCGAGCACTAAAGCTTTGTTACCAGAAGACGAATATGTCATAGAACCTAGAGGTGTTGTTTCCGTTAAGGTGATGAACTTTTTAATAAAATAATATATATCAAGAGTATCATCAAACATCGATTGTAACAATATATTTTTACAGGGTAAAGGTGAGATGGAAACGTTTTGGCTGTGTTCGAGGAGATCTGAATCCAAAGATTAAAATTTTATGTAATTTTCAGAAATTATTTATTTATCATACATATTGCACTTTTCATTCCAAAACTTATTTCTCGTAAATAGGTGTAAATCTATTGTATTCATTTGCATTAAATTTGGATAAATGAAAAGATAATAATGCACTTATATGATGAGTAAAAATAATACTAGTCATTTTATAATTAATTAATTTTAATCAAAAAATTTAGAAAACAAATATTAACTTTACGAAAATAACTTGTGTAATTAACCTAAGCCAAATCATTGGATGATTGATTGAAATAAACTAAACCATATGAATGTGAACAATTTCAATATTACGTGTCTAAAATTGGATATTTACAAATATAATCGTAAAACTTATCTAGAATTTATTTTCAAAATGAATTTCTTTTTATAATGACTTCATCGGAACAAGTACAGGCGTCTTGTGTATTACGCTCGATCCAGGTAATAAAGCGATTTACTCGGGTATAAACGCCAGGAAAACCAGGCTGAGCACATCCCTCGCCCCACGATACGACTCCTGGATAAAAATTGTTTGAAATTTAATATTTTGGAATAAAAAAAAAGTATGTTTATCCTGCCGTATGAACTCACCGACTATTCTGTGCAGGCCTTCCTTTTGAACGTGCAGAGGACCACCGCTGTCTCCCTGATAAAATAAATGCATATCCATGAAAAGACTGCGAAATCAGTGGAATGAACTTTTGTCGTTAAAAATACCTGACAAGAGTCCTTTTGTCCTTTCTTGTAGCCAGCGCAGAGCATATTATCGGTGATTTTTCTCGCCGGATACTTAGAAGCACGACACTCGGCGTTTGATAAAATTGGCACGCTGACCTCTCGCAGAGTGTTGGAAACTGGTCCCCCGGCCGAAGTGGCTCCCCAACCGGTTGCAATGCCCGTCATTCCGGTGAAAGTTTTTACTAAAATAAGCCGCGGTACAATCAAATGTCGAGCTCGTTCTCGCAGTAACAAAGTTTACGAACAAAAAAGAAAAGTAAGAAGAAGAAGAAAAAGAAAAAAGTATACTGACATTTTTCGGCCATGCAAACCGGTCTCATGCGATGGTCGAACTTGAATTCACCATCGATCTTTATAAGAGCGATATCATTGTTGTAATTGGCAGTGGAATAGCTTACGTGCTTGATGACTTCTTTCGCACGATAATCTTGAGTAGTCGACTCGGTGGTCAAGTTTCGATCGTGCTCGAGAATACGCACGCTAATAGATGATTTTGAAAATCTGTCAAATTGGTAAGAAAAAACCGATCATACGGGTGTACCTGATTATAAGAGAAATGCTAGTACAACGGGCCTACCTGTCGACGCAGTGAGCAGCTGTCAAGACATACTTTGAATTGATAACGCTACCGCCACAATAAAATCGGCCCCTGTACAGTAAAAGAGCCACCCATGGGTACTCATTGACTTGAGTTTCGACTCCACCGACGATTCTCTTCTGCTTATTCGTTATTCCACAAGCTTAATGAAAAAATACGATTGAACAAAGAACGTAAAAGCGGCAAAATTTGAAAATCTACTCACTGCACGGTGGACAGCCCGTTGCATCGTGGCTAGGCTTGATCGGTATCGATGTACTAGTCGCCGATGAAATATCGTAACCCAGAATATTTTGTAACCAACTTTGAAAGAATTTATCCTCGTCCGGAGTCAGCTTTTCCGTTGTATTTGTTTCAATTTGTCTTGGCACTTGCACCTACGACGTGAAAACGTTGGCAAAGGATTGATTATTATTGACACTCACGCAGCTATACAAGTAGAGAATAATCACCTGATCAGTGAGAACAGACGTGTGAGCGTAAGTTAAAAAAAACAACAAAAAGATTAAAATTATACTTTTCATGTTTGCCCTATTTATATCACTGGATAACACTGTGATTGACTATCGAAAATTATAACAATGTCACTTTCGACGCACAACGTATCCGGAGCCGAAACTGGACTGAATTGCTTTGCTATAAGCTTTCACAAGCAGAGCCCCGAGTCGAGTGTGTCTCATCCTCATTTATATGTATTTAAAAAGAGACCAACACGGAGGCCAGTTTTTCGTTTCACATTGAATGCGTATATATATATATATACACACACACGTGCGTGGTGCAAGGAAAAAATAATTTTAGGCTGCCTGATACTAAGCTCCTGTTTTAAACGCGCATAATTTACGCAAAATTACCGGTTATAGCAGCGGTGTCGATGACACCTTAGAACGTATATAGATATACTTTTCGGGCCTTACTTCAAGATGTCAGATTGCTTTTATTTCTTTACTTTGCGGACCGGCCCGCGGCCGTTTTGACTGTCGCGAAACAAACATTTTAAAAAGCGTCGATTCAATAATGGTTGTTAGGCTCATTCGATGTGAATGAAACTATTATTCTTCAAAATAGTATATTTCATTAAACAGTGCTGTTTCGGTCAGTTTAAAAGCCAAATGATTCACCAAAAAGTACGAATCCTTGTAAATATAATATCTTGAAATATTAAACATTGAAATTAATACGAATTATACGTTTTTTGTTTATCAATAGCTCCGAGTCGTCATCGTCGAGACATCGCAGGTCAAGGTATGTAGGGTACGACACCCTCATGCTGCGGGTTTGCGTTCTCATTTTTTTTGTCATTTTTATTATCGCGAAGAATCTCGAGCTGCCCCAACTGCGCATATACAAAATTTACATGATGCAAACTTTTTTTCGATAAAGTCAGCATGTGCACAGCTGATTCACCTACGCGCAATTAAATGGATTCGAGTAAATGGGTAGGAACTTGGCCGTCCTTTTCTTGGTATCTTTGAAAATGATGTGAATAAAATGTATATTTCAATTCTTAATGTGAAACCACGAAACGAGCGAAATTACGAAGAATGACCCGTACTTTACTCTAATCCAGATAAGATACGGCAAGCCACTTCAAACACATAATTTTTTTCTGGCCGTCTTCAACAAGGAGTGGTATCTTTTTCAAGTGCATCGTATGGAATTTCATAAATAATTTTTTATAACGGTACTGATTAGATTTATGGGTATATTAAGTCTTAATCGACAGGAAAAGAGTAAGGCTGAGTAAACAAAAGAAATTAGAAGTAATGTAAATATTGAAAGGCAAACATAATATTAAGAATGTAGCTAAATTTTTGACAATGACATTCTAAGTTATCTTCCTTTGTCGATGATATCAGTAGTACACTTTCAAAGCGTAAAAAACCAAAGACATAAATTATATTATTATCTCATAAAATATTTAAAACAAAACAATCTTTTCGATATCGACGAGTTAAACAAATAATAATAGCGAACGGACGCTTGTTCAAGGCTACTATTACTATAGATCGAATATCGTATCCCACTTATACATGTATTGAAATACGTATATGTAGAATCGTCTCTTTCTCTCTATCTACCCGCATGTTTGCGTCCAGAAGCTGAGAGTTATTATAATAACATAAATGCATATTGCCTTTTTGTGTGCTCATCTTTACAAAAGCACGTTCTACATTATGTATAGACAAGGGCGTCTAATTACATTGACCCCCTTTTTGATGTGTGTATACACGATGATATTATAAATGAAAAATGGATACGCAAAAGAATGACTTCACAAAGTTTACATACACTTGGAAAAAAACTTTTTTTTTTAGGTTGCACCAATAAGATTATCACAAATCTTTTATGATGAATCGTATGTTTAATTTTCCACAAGAGCAAAATTCCACATTAGATGCTTAATTGAAACTTATTATGCATTTTTTACCAAGTAAGTCTCGTCCATTTTTCCGTAGTGTCAAAAACACAGAATCGAATGATTTTTAGAGAATGATCTTTAATTTTAATTTTTAAACGAAATACTGAAACCAAGATAAATGAAAATTCTGAGAATCGTTTAATGAGATCTAAGTGTATTAGCTTAAAGAAATCGCTTCAAGAGGCTTCCACTGAATTTTTAAGAAAATATTTGGAAAAAATTTTGGAAACCATATTTGATAAAGTTTATTTTTAAGTTGATTTTGGTATTCATTTTAAACATTAATGAAGCAGTTTGACATTTGACCAATGTGTCATCATTTTTTATTACATATTCTGCAAATCCGTAAACTAGAACACTAAACGTTTCGCATAAAGACAAATATATTTTACTGTAGATAATAATCATAAAAACATTATAGTAAAGAGGATCCGTCACGTGAGTGTGCTACATCTAGCAGGTTCCAAAACAACGAAACTATGTGAGCTGCGAACTGCCAATGTAGACGCGCCAGCCAAGGCCAAAGGTACGAAGCGGTATACAGAGCGGCTCCCTACCACTCGAGTAAAATAATCAGCACGGCGCCGTGTGTTATATATTAGTTATGATATAAGATATAAAACGTGAAAAAAGTTCTCGACAATCATCACTTTTACAACTGTGCTAAGCCCAACTACACACAGAGCTTTTGGCTAAAAAAATTTCGCGCACTCGGTCTCGCTGGAATTCAAAATTTAAACATGGGTCAGTTTTTCGAAGTTAATTTCGTGTGCATCGGAACGATCTTAGTTTTGTTATGTTTGACACACGGCGCCGTAATAAGCCCTAGATTGGTAAGAAGTGTCAATTTTATTTTGTGTGTCAAAATGCGAATTCTCGATCAGTGCCGAATAATCAAATCGAGTAAATTTTTCTGTCAGGTATTGACCGGAGATACGGAAGTGGTGTACGCCGATAACTTGTTGCCTAGTTCAAATTACTCAACGACCGATTACTCCATTAGCGTGACCGCGGGAAAAATTGGCGTGTGCGAGAGCTGCGGTGAGTAAAACCATCCTCTCCCTCTAATGTACGACATGAAAATAATCTGTGATCGATCGGCGACAGTTTGCGGGGTCGGACGCGAGGTGCGAATCGTCAATGGCGATCTCACCAGTTTTATCGAGTTTCCTTGGGCTGTAGCTATCACCTATCAAGGGATGCATCATTGCGGGGGAAGTCTGATAACGAGCAGACACGTTCTCACTGCGGGCCACTGCCTCAGTAGGTAAGTATATACATCGTTTCACATAGTAGTCCTGGTAGAATTTTTCAACGTTAATAATGGTCTTATGACTAAAATGTGGTTACTCTTCTATCCTAATCATGTTACAAATATTAACCGATTAACGTCCAGAATTAAAATCTCGCTTCGCTTGAAAATGTGATTGACGAACATTCTCAAATTTTTTCATTATTTTTAAAGTTGAGTTTGGAAAATTCGATTTCATGTTTTTTCCGGAAATTGGAAAATCTTCTTCTAAAATCCTGAAAAGTCATAAGGGTGTTTTTTGATTGACTCTAAGACTTTTTTGTTCTATAAACTTTTTACATAAAATTAATGGTTTTTGAGATAAAAAATGAGTTTGATTTTTTATAAACATTTCACTTCATAGATGCTATTTGTAAGAAAAAAGGGTTCGAAAAATCTATGAAAATTTCTTAAGTTACTTCAACACCCTTGATCACCTCTGATCAGATTTAAATCTTGAGTTTTTCACCGCAACACTTCGAGAAAACTCGCAAAGTCGATGTTTCGCACAAATTTTAAGTACGCATCAAATCTTAAATCTGAGTCCGGATTCTGAAAAGCATCAAATTTTATTTCAAATTATATATGTGCTACGTCTTTTTCAAGCGAAGCGAAATTTCGTTATTACTAATTGATTAAGCGTGTCTTAAGCATCCACCACTAGATGGCGAGTATCTTTTATTTCAGTCAATCTGTAAGTAGAAAAGTTAAAATAATTGTATAAGTCGAAGCAAGTCGAAGCACGGTTAGGAGACTTCATACATTTTCTGCCAAAAAAACGCGGAGCATAACAGGGCTATAAAATGTAAAAAAGAGGTTGCCGTTTTAGTAAATGTCCAGTTCTGATAACCCTTTTATGTAAAATAACTATTTCGTTAGTTAAAAGCTAACCACTTAATGTTGAGAGATTTTATCAAAGATTTTGATGATAATATTACTGACGCTCGTTTCTCGTATAATCAAAGCTACGACAAGAAGCAATTTAAATTACGCTTTGCCGACAAAAAGAAGTATCGCATCAAGGCTCTACACGTGCACAAAAAGTACAACAAATCGACGTACAACAATGACATAGCCATAATTGAGCTGGAACAGCCTGTGCCTTTGGATGGACTAGTGAAAACTGTCTGCTTGCCCGACGCCCGTGAGTGACCGTAAGCCACGATGAACCGATTCGTATAATGCAAATTTCCCCCTCATGATTTCAGTTCGCTTCCATTACTTCGGTATGACCGGCGTAGCCATCGGCTGGGGCCGAATCGCCGAGGGCGAGCCAACGAGCAAAAAATTGCGCAAAGTTGATCTGCCCATTTTATCGGAGACCGAGTGCGAGGAATCAAATTACCCGAAAGGACGCTTCACCGACAACATGTTTTGTGCCGGCTACATGAGAGGCGAACGTGACTCTTGCAATGTAAGGAAAACTCATTTCTATCTAATTACTAATGGACAGAACGGTCGAAAGTTTAAAATTCACTTGTCTTGTATGCAGGGTGATAGTGGCGGTGCTCTTCACGTACGCAATCAATTGGGAGCCATGGAGGTCGTCGGTTTGGTCTCTTTTGGACGCGGCTGCGCCAGACCGAAATTTCCAGGTGTTTACACGAAAGTGACGAATTACATGAATTGGATCGCAGATCATATCAAGGGCGAGTGTATATGTTCAATGCCGAAGGACATTATACAATCCTTCGTATGAATTTTAGTTAACAAAGTGAATCAATTTTTCGATAAACAATATTTAGCTCAATATAAATTATAGCTTTTTAGATATTAGTTTTAAGAATTAGGTATTTCGAGCGCAATTATTTCAATAGGATACAGATATGATGAATTGTGTTAATTGTAAAATCATTCGAGGAGCATGATACGCCACCTCAATGAAATCTTTCTATTTTCAATTTGGATAATATGAATACATTTTTTATCCGTGAGTGTGATCCTCGATATTATCTAGTCGATTTTGAAACTATGTTTATTAAAATATGATTAGCCTCTGTGAGGTTTATGTGATATGTATTATGTAATTTAAGACAATAAACTTCAATTGTATAATAATTTGTTTATCATTTTTACAACTTGACACGATAAGTGTGCTTTTGACGAATCATTAAGAAAAAGTAAATATAGCGCCAAATGATAAGTTGATAACTGCACAAGCATGCCCACTTACTCTCAAAAAGCACCTTCTAAAGACGCGAGCTCCCGAAGAGGCCTATGCATTATGTAGGTTGGTGAAATTTCGATTTATCTCGAGAGTTATAAGTCATGCAACTTTGCCTCTGGAGCGACTGTCTCTCGAAGGAAGCATCTCTCGATTAACAAAAAAAAAAGCCGAAAAAAAACTGACTTCCGGATATCGCAAGGGAAAAGCAGCTTTCTTTTTTGAGGATCTTACAAAGCTGAAAGGAGTCGGGAACAAAGGTCCTCTACTGGCTTGGTTTTGATGCACGCGAGCTCCACGAGATGCGCATTCACGACGCACGTGTGCCGCTCCGGCAATTGTTACGTTTATACCGTATACTTTATGATACTTTAGACACTTGGCCTAGGCTCGGCTGAATTATGCCGAGTCAGCTGCGGATACAATATTGTATAGCTTGCTTGCGCGCGAACCTGCCGCGATCGAGCGCGAGTAATATTTTAAAGAGCCCCCGATGTAGGCAGGAGGAGTGTAGAGCTCGACGCGCTCGCTCAAGTCCATTGATCTTTGCGCGGGGCTCTCGGTCACTTTCGTTGCGCGTATAAACACACTCTTGGCGACTCGCAGCGTTTACCTACATATATAGAGATCTCGCGAGCGGTTTCCCTGCTCTCCGGGATGGGGCACGTTTACAAGAGCCGTTTACGAAGTTTTACGATTCGCGGGGCGTAACGCGCGCGCGGCCTGGCACGACACAAGAGCAGCGGCCCGACATCGAGGAGGCACGAGATAGAACGTCAGCATCAGCGAGGCGAGTAGTTTCTCCTCGCGACTGGCCGCCGGTGGATACTCACTCACTTTCTTTCTCTCTCTCTCGCTGAAATATACCGTGCATGTGTTGTTGTTGCTGTGCTATAGCCCGGTGTGGGTGCGTGTGTGCATTCGTAAATATACGCTCGGTCCGTGCGTGTGTATGTGTACGTGTGCGAGTGAAGCAGTGAAAGCTCCGAGTTTATATTGTACTTAATGCGTCTTCAGTCGTTTTTTGGATGCACTTGGATAACATCGGGACTGCGAAAGGGTTGAGGCCGAGTCCATGACGAGTCTATCCAAGATCGTCGACAACTTTTCAGTGCGTGTGCTCGAGTGCGGTGTGCGTGGGTGTACGTGACTTTACGTACTGTACAGACAAAAAGACGACAATGGGCAGTTACTCGAAATCGTCGTCGCTTTCGTCGACGATAGCCGTATTAGTGTTCGTTGCGGCTGTCGCTGCACGTAGCGCCGATAGGAACGCGAGACATGAATCGGTAAGTACTCGCGCGAACGACAGATGAGAATAAATTTCAATTCTCTTTGGCTCGACGATCGATTTTGCTATACGGTATCTACGTATAGACGCGCAGCTGTTAGAGAAATCGAGGTGACACGGCGACCATGGCGATGCTCGAAAAATAAAAATTCAATTGCTTCGCGGCACGTGCCGACATGTGTACGTGTGCAGCTCGAGCGCGTCTTTATCGTGTGTGCAGAAAAAAACTTATCTCCTGACGTAACTATGTACCTATAACGGAGCCAAAAAAACTTGTAAACCTTTTGGCTTGAGTCGTCTATTCTTGAGCCCGATAAGGCGTTACTTTCGTATGGCGAGCATTATTCGCAAGCCTTGACCTATCTTTCATACATGCTGTACAAGTTCATGCGGCATATATTTGCGGCGTTAAATGTCACTTTCTACGGGACCGGCATTTCTTCTCTCAATCTCGTTTGTGTGCTGGCCTTTCATTCTCTTGCGCACGTAGCGAATTAAATGCTCTTGCATCCGAAGCACGAATTGAAATTTAAAAACCAGCCTGACTCGACTTGCCTGCTTGATATGCCAAAATACCTATGCTCGTTTCCATTTTTGCTATTTTTGTTAACGCACAGACGATTCAAAATCGCACCGGAAGGATATTTTTCGACGAGATCTTCGGCATCAACGTGAACTTTGGCTTCCCAGGATTCGGAGGTGGGGGCAGCAGCAGCAGCAGCAGCAGCCCGGCTCAGAGCGTCAGTTCCGGCGATTCCTTGGCGAGCGCTTCCACGAACTCGGTGCAAAAATTGAGAAACTGCACGTGCGGTAAGACTTTTTTCTTCTTTCAGGGGGAGGGCTCTGCCGAAGAAAAGTAAAATTTCGCGATAAACAATTTGTTTCTCGCTTACAATTTCAACCTCGGCGTAAATATACACCGGGAGAAAGTGAGTGAAGCGCGGATCAATCGGGATCGAACTGGCGCAGGTGTATACACCGATGATTACGGGTTTGTTGTATACGTTAATTTGACGATGATTTTTTTGCCTTCATTGAAATGGAAAGTTCATGCGTGAGGACTGTTCGAAAAAAAATTCGTCCACCGGCGATTTATTCTGGGTAAAAGTAGGCTAGACGGAATTTAATCAGTTTTAGTTACGGTACTTTTTTTGTGGAATCGCCAACTCTATGCAAATTGTCCCCGTGTATACGAAGCTTCTTATGGTGTAAGTAATTTTTGTGGTTTCGCAACGGCCGCGCAAATTGACCATTGAGAGAAGCGTAATACTCTTTCACTGTGCTCAAGTGCGATACGAGGCCTTAAAGTCATATTTTTGTGAAAATCCTATTTATAATGGAGTGTGAGAAAGGTGAAAGTACGAACCGCAAGTTGTGTGCGCGTTTTACAAGCGGCGAATCAAGTGTATACACCATCGCGAATACGACTGCTTGTAACGTGTGAGAGGCATTAAATTTAGAAAACAAAGAAGTGTCGCGCGTTGAATTCAAGACATCATCTTCTTTTTTGTCGCAGAGTGCGGATTTCCAAATCACGAGATCCGAATCGTTGGCGGCCGGCCGACCGAGCCCAACAAGTATCCTTGGCTGGGACGCATCGTTTACGAAGGCAAATTTCATTGCGGCGCTAGCCTCCTTACCAACGATTACGTCATAACTGCCGCTCACTGCATCAGGAAGTAGCGTCGCTTATTTATTATCGTGTTTTTGTCATGCCTCGTCATTGCGCCTATTACATCTGACTGTGCGTTTTGTCGCTTCGCAGACTGAAGAAGGAGCAGATCCGCGTGATTCTGGGCGATCACGACCAATTCGTCACGACCGACGGCCAGTCCATCATGAGGGCGGTGGCCAAAATGATTCCTCATCGGAACTTCGACACCGAGTCGTACAATCACGACATAGCCCTGCTGAGGCTGCGCAAGCCGGTCCTCTTCTCCAAGACCATCCGACCGGTCTGTCTGCCCTCGATCGGCAGCAATCCGGCGGGTAAAGACGGCACCGTCGTCGGCTGGGGACGCACCAAGGAGGGTGGTATGCTGGCCGGGGTCGTGCAGGAGGTCACGGTGCCGGTGCTCAGCCTCGACCAGTGCCGCAAAATGAAGTACCGAGCCAATCGCATCACCGAGAACATGATGTGCGCCGGCAACGGCAGCCAAGACTCCTGCCAGGGCGACAGCGGCGGACCGCTGCTCATCGAGGAAAACGGACGACACGAGATCGCGGGTAATTTTCATTTGCGAATATAAAGAAATCGTCTCGAGGCGCGGATGTTTAAAAAATTTGTTGCTTTTTGTCTGGGCCCAGGTATCGTTTCGTGGGGTGTTGGCTGCGGTCGGCAAGGTTATCCGGGAGTTTACACGAGAGTCGCCAAATATCTCAACTGGATAAAGCTAAACATGAAACAAAAGTGCATCTGTACTGATCTATAGAAACATAGTTACCTGATTTGAACGTTGAGACAATTTTCAACACGACTGACTCGACAGAACTGTGTGATATTTTTTAAATAAGTGTTTTTATTACTAGTTTCGATAGAGCATAATTATATGATGTTATTTAAAGCAATGTAGTTAAATATTTACGAATAATTTAAAAAAATTTAATTCTAATTAACGATTAAGTTGAAGTGTTAAAGTACAGATATTTTTTTATTAAAAGTCGCCATAGAATGTCTAAAAAGAAACGCATTTCTATCCGCAATCATTTATGCTGCCTCGAGTGCACTCGGCATTTACGATTATTCCAAAACAAAATGTAAAAAGCAATTCGCACTATACTCACGAACATTATATAGCAGAGACCCTCGCGGCAGCAAACACTGGAGATACTTACTTACGCGAAGACATGCACGAGCACGTATACAGATAGGCGGACGTATACACATGCAGGACATTCACAGATGGCCTGCTGCCGCTCTCGGTGCATGCGAGCTGCGCGTCGCGATCGCTGCACGAGAAAATGAGAAAGCTAAATATAGGCCTGTAATACATCGAAAGGCTTTCTTATGTACGTACGTACGTACGTATAGCGCACGCGATCGACGATAGATGGGAAGGTGCGAAACCCGTTATCGGCCGCCGCCGTTCGCTGCTGCCGTGAGCGCGTCCGCTGCTGCTGCTGCTGCTGCTGCCTCTGCCCCATGCCATGCAGCGCGCGAGTATGTGCAGCTATGATATGTCCGTATAATGCCTGCACTTTGAGACCACGAAGCAGCGTTAACCTCTGCGGAGAGTGTCTTCGTCGTCGTCGCCGTCGTTGTCGTCGTTTTCCTGATCGCGCCTCATCGTCTTCGCGACTTGTGTGCAGTAACAAAGGGAGACGGTGCACGACCCGACAGTCGACGTACTTTATTCAAGTGAGACGACACGGCTTTCTCATTCGATCGCTTGAATTCCACTCGATTGATACAAATTTTTTATTCTTTAGTTTTTCATTCCGAAAGTATAAATCGAGATCATGCGCTGGACGATACTCCTGTCGACGCAATTGTTCCTTGCTGCTTGTTATTTATCGCAGACAGGCGTCGTCTGTGAGGAGGAAATCGTAAGTCTTTTTTCATCTTCTTTTGTTTGCAATAGCTTTATAAATGTGAATGCGCCAATAAGCATGAAATCGGTATGGCCGAGATTTTTAATTTACTGTACGCGTTTATGACTTTTTAAAAGGATTCATAAAACAGTGAAAGCTCGCGCAAATGAAGCGAACGCGAAATTTAGCTTGACGAATCTGTGCTTTCTTATATTGTTCCAACTATTTTCATTCGTACAGGCGGAGAACGAAAAGAACAGCACAAAAGGATTCCTCGAGGATCTGTTCAAGAAGAAACAAGCAAAGCCACCCGGACCATGTTATTGCAGTAAGCTTAAAAAACATATTCTCACTCTGTATTGACTTGATCGCGCATTTAAGTCATACGTTAAAACATTAAATTATTGTAAAATATAGGCTGCGGATTGAGGAACGAAGATAGCCGCATCGTAGGAGGCCAGACTTCGGTGACCAACGAATTTCCCTGGCAAGCTCGGCTCTCTTATATGAATAAGTTTTACTGCGGAGGCACGCTCATTAACGATCGCTATGTTTTGACAGCTGCTCACTGCGTCAAAGGGTAAAGTCGCATAAATTCAATGACGCAAAAATAGTCGCCATATATATATATTATTATAAAATTTACGCATATATAATGGAGCTATTTCAAAGCGAGTCTAAAAATTATTCCAGTCGTATGATATATCGTGCAGTTTCATTTTCAGCTTCATCTGGTTCATGATCAAAGTGACACTCGGCGAGCACGACCGCTGCCTCAAAAACAACAACGCCACGCCGACCGAGCTGAGAATCGTGTCGCGCGCCTTCGTCGGCAACTTCAGCCTGGCCAATTTCCACAACGACATCGCCCTGCTGAGGCTCAGCGATCGAGTGCGCTTCTCCGACACGATCCGGCCGATCTGCTTGCCTAAAAAGACAGGTGACAGCTCGAAACAGTTACACTTGCGATAACTCGCTCGCGCGTTGCCTAAAACAAAAGAAAGAAAAAAAATGAAAAATTCTCCGTAATTACGAAATGCGCGTGCAGCAATCGATCCCGGACATAAACATTGGAATAAATATGAAACTTTTACTTTTATTATCGGACGGCTAATCGTCGTAAATAATTACAAGCATAGGGGTACGCTGACGCCGCGCAAAAAAAAATTGATATGATTTATGAACCATATGAAGAACAAGGACGGATTCGTCACTTTTTTTTCGTCATCTATTCGCTCGCGGTGCTCTCGATAAAAGTAAATACTGAAAGGGAAATTAGGTTGACGATTCACGGCTAGATACACCTGCGTACCGGCGACACAAATTAATATAACAATTACTATTAGTCGTGCGCGCGAAATGAAAGATAAGGCGCACGTGTCAATGGACGGCTTGATTATTTTGCAGATGAATTGTACGACGGAATAAAGGCACTGGCCTCGGGCTGGGGCACCGTTCGAGAGGACGGGCCGCTGAGCTGCATCCTGCAATACGTCGATCTGCCTGTCATGAGCTTGACGGAGTGTCGAAACTTCACCAAGTACAGTCCCCGCGTCATATCCGACAACATGATGTGCGCCGGCTATCTCGAGGGCAAAAAGGACACCTGCCAGGTACGGTGAATCGATCGAACTCGAGCTTTTACGAAGCTGTGCCGAGAAAATAATAATAATTGCATTTTAACTGTTTTTTTTTGCGTTTCGACAGGGTGACAGTGGCGGACCTCTCGTAGCCATGAGAGCGGATAAAAAATACGAGCTCATCGGCGTCGTGTCTTGGGGCAACGGCTGCGCCAGAGCGGGATATCCCGGCGTTTACACGCGAGTGACCAAGTACCTCGATTGGATTCTCAAAAACTCCAAAGACGGCTGCTTCTGCGATCAGGATTAAAGCTGCCCAATTTACTCACGACGAATCTTCATCAGCATCTCGCTTCATTTGTAATGAATCATTTATCTCATCGGCATTTAGTATACATGCGTATCCATGACATTTTTTTTTCGTAGTGAATCGTAGCTTTTAATCATTTTGTAAGTAGCTTTAAGGCTAGACTGTGTTAAGCATGTGAAATAAAACGTTGAGCTTTTTTATCATTGAATAATTTGTTACTCAATACCGAACTACCGTAAGACACTTTCGCTCGCGTATCACGCGGCCTATCAGTGAATAGACCTGTCAAAACGAGCCCGTAAGTATATCTGGTTAGCGAGACACGCGACTGCGGGATGCGAGTCGACAGGATGCTACGCCATCGCTGCGGAAGAGAACGAAAAAAAAGTGCCGAAGAAATGCGGGTTGACGAGGCAGCGAGGAGCTTTCGAGACATCGGCAGTTCACCTCCTGGCGCTCGCTCGAAACACACCACCACTGCGCGTAATCATGAATCGCTCTTGCTATTATCTCCTGGCTGCTCTCGCGATCGCTCTCCAACTGCTCGATCAGGCCGCATTGGCCGAGGTGCGTAATATATAGCGTGTAGATCGCCCGTTCATATAGTCGAGAATCAACCTCGTTTTTCGCTTTATCCCTTGCAGCAACGGACGAGGGACGGCTCGTTTTTCGGCAGGTACCCCAGAAGATTTCTCGATGTGTTGCTGGGAAAATTTCGCCCTTGCCTCAACTGCGGTAAGTTTAATCTCGAGACGGGGCAATGGAGAATCTTCAAAAGACATTGAAAATTGCTACTTCAAATCGTAACACTCGTTGCAGTTTGCGGTAAATCAAATCGAGGTGGTACGGCCCGATTTTTAGGCGGCGAGTACACCGACACCCACGAGTTTCCGTGGCTGGCCAACATACACGTGCGAAATAATCTGCTCGTCAGCGGGATCTTGATAAACGATCGCTACGTCCTGACCGCGGCGAGTCAACTGCTCGGGTAAGTAACGAGCGACGAGAGTCCGCAAGTCGAGAAATCGTAACCGGGTGTGGCGATTGCGCAGCGCAACTCCACCGGAGATCAAGGTCGCACTCGGCGAGTACGACAGATGCCACATCGACGTGTCGTCCGTCAACATGAGCGTCGACGCCGTCATCCTGCATCCGGAGTTCAGCTACGAGGCCCGGGCTCACGACTTGGCTCTCATCCGACTGAGCCGCTCGACGCAGTTCGAACGCAGGGTCCAGCCGGTCTGTCTACCCGAACCCGGTCAGTAGCTCTTTACATTTTCGGTACACACTTTGCTCCAACGTATCGTGAGAAATAATCTGAGAATCGAGATGTGTGGCTCAGGCGCGACGTATCTCGGCCAGGTAGGTACTCTCATGGGCTGGACCGAGAAGAGCAGCAGCATCAGGAGCGAAAACGGCACCGACGGCGTCGACTCGAGGAGTTGCAGACCTCGTAAATTAGGATTGCCGATACTCGGTAGGCGCGAGTGTCTCAAGAGTGGCGTTAAGCCGAGCAATTATCACGAGGAGAGTGGATGTGTGGGCGTCGTTGGCTACAATTCCATTTTATGCCAAGTGAGTGAACCTCTGACTCGGAAGTCATGCACTTCGATCAGCCTCTGAGCGTTTTGTCCAATTGACGAGTACATCGATTTGTTTCAGAACGACGCGGGCACATCGGTCTTGCACAGGTCCTACAACGGCTACTACGATCTCGTTGGTGAGTACTGCAAATTCGTTGTTGCTCTTTTTCCACGTGCCGATTTACAATGACCTAAGAAATAACAAAAAACAGGTATGCTGTCGGACATTAACAATTGCAACGACACGGTTGGCACGGCAGTGTTCACTAGAATAGGACCGCACATGAATTGGATTTATCACAAGACGCGCGACGCTTGCTATTGCCTCAAACCTTTAGAAGTCCCGGAAATTAAATCTCTGATGTTCGCTTACTAATGACTTTCGAGCGATAGAATTCTTCAGAATGATCGCTCACGGTCGTTGTAATAAACATTGCAAAAACCAGATTTGTAAAATAAAGCGCCTTGAGTTTGAATCTATTTTAATTACAAATAAACATTCTTATTTAATTCTTCAATTGAATAACGCAAATTATACACGTATACGCTAATTTAAATTCAAAGCTACAACAAAAATCTGGCAAAATAATTTAAAATTGGTCGACGCAATTCTTTTATAAACTATTTTTAAGGATTATAAATTAATTCTTTTTGAGAAATAAATTCATCATTTTACTTGGAAAAATAAACATTGTTTATTTTGTCTAAGAAGTGATCTTCAATTATTATAAAGTAGTTTCGTGATACAAAAGCCTACCTCTAGGTATTATTTACACTTAGTAAAACAATAATTTTACTAGGTTAGATTTAGAGCAAAACATTAGGTAATGTTTTTTTTTTCATTTTGAACAATTTGTGTAACAAATTTTCATTGATATTTCGTGATTGCTGACTGTTATTGAACAGAAACTGAATACATAGTGCAATCAATCTATTGAATGTGGTTTACACGCATCAACGTATTAAACATATCTTAATACAATTATACCTTAAATAATATTAAATATTTAAATTATTATAACATTATCAGTAAATTTTTGCAATCACAATTCTTACTTCCAAAAGTGGAATAGTTATTATTTTACATAAATTGTACAAGTTCTGTTTTTACTTCAATCTAATAAAAAATGCATAAGTACAACTATAGAATACTATATACTATCGATTACAAGGGCACTGTTGAGTCAAAAATTAATTGATTATTTACAAAAGTAAATGACTTTAAATGAAAAAATGTATAACTGTACACAATTGAAACGTTTTTAAACTTAAACATTCGACTACCACTTTCATCCAAATTATTTTGGTTATTGATGTAAAAAAAACTTAATTTTGTGTTTATAAATTAAATCAAATTATAATTAATTTCAAAATTATTTCAACTCAATAAATGATATTAGTAGCATTAGAGTTACACTGAGATGTTACAGCTTCTTCTAAGTTTGAGTCTAGCTTACGATAATTCGCTGTACTTGGTCTTCTTCTACTACCTCTACCTCTCCTTGAACGTCTACCTTCCAAAATCATGGCAAACAACTGAAAAAAAATCATTTTTATTACTTCTTCAAATATTATTTTTAAATTTTATCAATATTTACCTTTTGTTTATTGTGATAACCAATATACAATATGAAACAAATCAGAGAAATAGTTGTAAAATAAGCAAAGTAATGGGATTCCTCCTCTTGGCGCTGAATGATATCCTCCATAGCTGAATCACGAAACTTTCTCAGATCAACTTGCGAGTTACCTCTGCCTGTTACAATGGTAAGAAAAATAAAAAATGAATAAAATATACTGAAATTAATTGCATCTTAAATAAGCATATCTTACCTTGAGATTGAGATGCTTTATCTAAATCTGAAACATATTTCTTTTATAGTTATAAAATTCTATTAGATAATGTGTATGAATAATAAATCATACCTTCTTTTTCATCCATATCGTCTTGTTCGTTTGTATCTTCATCGTTTTCATTTCCGTTTTTGGCTTGATGGTTTTCAAGTGAATTAATATCATTATCAGGGTTTTGATCTTCTGCAACGTTAGGTGAATCATCTATTTGCTTAGAGTTAGTATCAGTTGAAGACTGGCCTGTTATGATGTCAGTTTTTTTGGTATCTTGTAATGGGTTTACTTTATCCGCACTTTAAACAAATGTAAAGAAAAAATTACTACCACTATTAAAATAATTTCTTGATTTTTTACTTACATTTTATCATTGGTATCTTCAGTTTTTTCTGAATTTTTGTTGATGGCTTGCGTTGGATTTTCAAGAGTTTTTTCAACTTGAACTTGTTGAACTTTAGGTTGACTAACAGAATCAGCTGATTTTGTAGATACCTTTTCTGTATTTTGCACTTTCATTTTAGTATCATTTTCATTTTTTTTTTCATTTACATTTTTTTTATCATTTTCAACATTTTGAGGACTTGAAGTATTTTCTTCTTGATGAATAATTTGATCAATAGGTTTTTGATCTTTTAATAAATCACCAGCCCATTTTAATATTAAACATATTGGCTCAACAGTAGTTTTTGGGGTTTTTTCACAAAAATAAGCACATTTTATCGGGTTTGATAACTTTGATGTCATATTTTGCATGATAGGAACAATACTTTGATTTGTTTCCACTAAACTATTCAACTGATTTAGGTAATTTATTCCATTTTGACAAATATCTTCTATGAACTCCTCAAATTTGTTTCCAGTTGGCTCAAGTTCTTTTATGCTTTGATCAAATATTTGTCCTGTTTCTGGAACTTTTATTTCATAATTACTTCCACGTTTCCATGTATTCAATTGACTATTATATATGCAAGTTTTTTCTGCAATGTCAAACATTAAAATGCACATTAAATCTGTTTTATCTTCTTGATTAACTGGCAGAGTTAAGTTTTTACATGAACTTAGAGTTACAGAGTCTAGCACAAATTTAACTGTGTCACAATGATTTGCATGATCCATCAAAGTTTTAATTCCATTCTTAACTTGTGTATTAACAGCAGCAGTACTCACAGAATACAAAAGCGTAGTAAACAGTAATGTAAAAAGAATCATTTTTTCAAGACGCGACTCGTGATTCTTCTTTGTAGACGTCATTTTGAAGTTTTCGAAAAGTGCTGATTCGGTTAATATCATCTACGATGTAGTCCCTTTGTGTATGATCGTTTCCAGGTTAAGTTGGTTTCATCCCACCGGCTAAGAACACGCAGAGTGAAGATATGATTTCGAGCAACGAGCTTACTCCGTCGAAATTCTAGCGGACTTAACTTTGCAAAAACCCATCAATCGTTGCAATTCAAACACGTAATAAGTTAGTCGGAGCTTATCTCTCGGACAAGTACCTGCAAGCATAGGACAGTGCTGCAGGCCAGCTCTAGTAAATTATTGCTTTAATAATCGTTTAGTCGATATACGGAGCACTAGACTTTCGCGATAGTTGGCAAAAGTGACAATCGAAAACAAACACTTTATTGGATCAATAAAAGTCGGTGCACTCGGTTCGATCGTCTTTTCGAATTAACGGGGCCCCGTCGGCGCGTGAGTAATCCGGCCTTCTCTCCCTCACTCGAATCTTGACTTTACCGTCATTTGTTTTCCGATGATTTCATGCACAACTCCTATATCGCACGAAATATATCCAATGCCACAATTCACATGCTGAATGCTAGATGCTTCGCAAATCGCACACTGCGCTAACGCGAGATCGTGCAATTTATACCTCGGTCGGTATGAGAAGATCTTGACTAGATCGACTCAAGTTATTTTTGCGCGAAAAAACGAATGAATAATTATAGCCTTTTGTTACAGTTCTTTGGAATAATTTTTATTATTTTCATATTGTTTCTGCTTGTATACATGTTGGAAGATCTAATATTTAATTAAGCTTTGCGAAGATGGCAGCTATTTTTACAAACAACCATTACTAATGAAAATACGACAGACGCATTGCGTACACTCATTGCTTGTGACATATGACGTTTTTAAATTAAATAATAATTAAAATATTTAATTTATTTAATTAATACATTTTTTTCGTAAGAAATACAAATTTATTTTATTTGATTTCGTTTTCTTTAAAAAATTGCCATTATTAAGTAAGCTTTCGTAATTTAATAGTTATAAAAGACGCTTTTTGATTTTACCACTTAGATTTTTTGGTACTTAAAAATTTTTTTAGTCAGCACAATATATGTACTCGCTTTTTTAACAGCACCAACATTTATTCTCATAAATAGTATCTAAATGATTTACAGTGTAGTGTGCAAATACCCAGACTTTTAAAATTTTAAGATATTTTTTTCAGTTTTCAGTTAAAGTTCATTTAAAGTTGGAGTTGAAAAAAGATTCTTACCCATAAAATCGGATAAAAGGCAAAGAGTCTTGTTAAATTCAATCTAGATTATTTGCACAGCTATTTAAACACATCAAACCCCTCCGTCAGTAAATGATGTCATGTCGAAGCTAAGGATCAATCAATACAACTCAAATAGTCTTACCGATTTTAGAGGCAGAATTATTATCCAATTTTGCCGCATATCGAATCAAATAATGTGCCGTTTGAAAAACGAGTATTATAGACAGGATCCTATCATAGGGTTTGAATATTACAAGATTTTTATGAGCAAGCAGTTTTAGATTCTACTTCGATTTTGTAAATCCCTATGTAGGAAAATGAATTCTTTACAGCAACCTCAATTTATTTATGTTTGTACATTTCTAAATAATAAGCTAAGCAATTATTTTACTCATTGCAGTTTAATGAAGATGCAATCACCTGAGAACAGACACAATTTTTATTTGAAAAATTTAATGGAGTTACCAGCTTCGCAGAGCCATATATCATTACATTATACAATTTTTACGATGCTTTAAAAAACAATAAAATTTGCTCTACAATAAATATAATCATTAACCATCTATATTATTTTGACTTTTGTATTACGCTCTCTAATTAAACCCATTCGTGATTATGTATCTTTGTCTTTTCTTCCGAAACATTGATATATATTAATTTAATAATTATTTTTTCACTCTTACAGTCAGTTAACACTTCGCACCAGACATTAATTTTATTAATTTAAATTTTCATTTCTTAACTCACATAAACATTTTCTTTTGTGTATAATAATATATAATTTAATATACTTGTTTTTTTTCATTAACGTTGATTGTTTGTATTCTTTTTTTACATTAATTATAGGTTTGAGTTTGTTCAAAGTATTTTTGTAAGATTGTCTGATAAACGGCTTCACAATGACATATTTTTGTATGTATCACTCGCGCATTAATTTCACAGATGTTTTTTCAGTTTTATATTCATGTAAGCTATAAATTTTTCTTGTAGTACATAGGTTTTATTGTATCTTAACTTGAGTCTCAGTAAAAACGAATAAACAGTAACGCATATGATAACATTAACTTAAAATCCGCCAAAATACCGAAGAAGCAAAAATTAGGCCATAAATTTTTATTCTTAGCGAACGATACGAGCTACGAATAATTTTAACTTTCGTATTGCAAAGAAAAGAAATTATATTTTGTTTCATTACGAAAATTGTCATTACCCAGCACGCAATTATATTATTATTAAAACTTGTAAATGGCACAACTCGAAAACAGTCGAGCTTGAGCAGTCGACGAGTCGATTTGGCTTTGACCGTAACAGTACACTCGAAGTCGCAATAAAAAAGTTTCCTCGCATGTAATTTAAAAATTGGTCGCATATATATTATTTATTACTATATTAATGTAGTTCGTACAACATGGCATATTGGCTGATGTGTTTTTTTAATTGATATTTTTTCACGTTATAATTTTCTATCTATTTACGTTCAATGGCAATGCCGCACATTATTGTTTTAAGCTATATGTTCACAATATTTAATTATCTTGCGCTCGTAGCAGCGCACAATAATCGTTTATACGTATATTTATAATAATGTACCGAATGAAGGTATGTGTGTGTGTTATGTGTATTTGTTAATGTATTTACCGGTATTACTTTTGGGATATTTCGGACCCAAAAACAATTTGTTATTTTTTCATTAAAGCTCTATATTTCATTGAAATTTATTGTACGTAAATATTGTATGCGTTCATTAATTTTCTAAGGCTATTGATTAATTAAGTCTAAACATCGCATATTTCCCACTGTTATTGTTACGTTTATTTTCCGCTATTCTAAAAAAATGTTTGTCAAATATTGTTTTTTTTTCTATCTTTCAACAAAACAAGGACCGTATATCGAAGGATTTTTCGTACGCCACACGAGAAACGGAAACGGCACGCAAAAAGTTCCGAAAGAATCACGGAAAATCTGCTCATATATTGTCAAAGTCAAGCTCAATTGTAATTGAGAATCATGTACGCGCTTACGGATCTAAAATTCAGTCACTCGGTCTCTCGCAACAACTGCGCACACGTGTACCTACTAGACGCGGGAAACTCATTAGATAATTTTCTGGCTCGCGACACTCGTGTTTCAGGCACACTCATTCGCCAAACTTTTGCTCTGCCACGTGCGGAAAAACGAGATTAAAACGAGGAACCCGGGCCGACGAGCAAAGTATAATGATGCGCGTTGCACCCATATATAAATTAACGAGTTGGGCAGAGAGAAGTTTGAATTTTTGTTTGTCGCAACATTCAACCATTTCACTTTTGTTGTCTTTCGACGGGCTTTAGAGCCTCCTACATGCTAAGTTTTATACTTAAATAATGCGCGTATATGTGAATAGTCGCGAGGCGCGGCTACTCCGCTCCACGTCGCTTAATAGACTATATATTAATATGAATCAACGCGAACAATATCGCAGCCTCTGCCACCTGCGTTGGGTATGCGAATTTAACGCCGTGACAGTAAACGCGTCTCTAGTCTATATAACGGTAATATAAAGCCTCTGAACGCCGCATTTAAAACCATAAACATGAGGTCGCATGGTATGAGCTGCTGCTGCTGCTGCTTCGCGACTTATGCGCGTATGTATATTATATTTTTATATATTTTTAGCCGCGGCAACTGCTGCACATCATCAACGCGCGATACGACACATAACGCACACAATATTATGCACAAAATCAACCATATATTATACGCGATATTTTTCATCGATTCGTACTCGCGACTCCGTGCGCACAACGGCTTTCTCTCTCTCTGTATTTCTGCTCTCGCACGCGTTTATTGTACGAAATGCTTTTAACGATATCATACGAGCTCAATGTTTTATAAATCATCTCGCTTGCGAATTCGAAGCGCGAAATCGATCATCGTATATTCACACATATACAAGTATATACAATTTCTTGACCCACGTGTAATGTACACGAGATCTTTCGCATCCCCCCACCTCCGAGTATTAACATCTACCGACGATTTTTCTTTACAAAGCACAATTTATTTACATAGTAGTGGTGAATAAATAAAGTAATTTATACACAGCTTCAAATCTACCGATATTTTATTTATGAGAGAGCTCATTTTTACTCTGAAGCCACGTGGAGTTCAATTGACGCGTCTTTTGGCAATACAACCAGTATTGATTTTATTAGAGAATAGTTTTTTTGTTTGTTTACGTTTGTTTCATTGACGATAATTCAATAACTTTTTTTTCTTCATAATATACGCTTTCAACAACATGAATACATCTTTAACATCAACTTATTAGCCACGTACGAGGACACGGTGATTTTTTTTATATAATTTGCGAATCTTGCGATTTTAAATATCCCGAAAGAAATTCGTCCATTATTTTCGTTTTTTTTTGTTGTTTTTTTTTTCTTTCATTGATATTTTGTACAAAATATTCGTTTAAAAAAGCTCGTTCCTCTGTTTGTAAAAGAAAAACGACACGGTCTAAGAAGAAATGATAAGATCCGTTTGATCATTCAGCTATCACCGCGATATCCATAGTTGATTTTCATCTATTCTGTTTTTGTTTTTTTTACAATATAATTACGTAATGGAAGGTGAAAAAGTACAAAGGGAGATTGTCACGGGTGACGAAGAGTATTCGCGCATGTACGTATGAATTGTATACTTCGATAAAAATAGCCCGCGCCGCCAGGTCGTCGTCGTTCAAGTGAGGTGCAGATCGCCCTTGAGTATTCGGGTGAACGTCTTCTTGAACTGCTGATTGGCCAGAGCGTAGCAAAACGGATTCATCGGGCTGTTGGCGTAGCAAAGAAAGTACGAAAACATGAAGAGGTGCTCGTTCGTGCAGGGTGGATTGGCGCAGAAGCCCTCGACCAGGGCCAGTATGTGGTAGGGCGTCCAGCAGGCCACGAAGCAGCCGAGAATGAACGATATCGTGCGGAAGGCCTTGCGGGCGCGATTCTCGGTGCGCGACTTTTGCCGGCCCTGGCTCGGATCGCTCTTCTGCGTCGTGACCTTGAGCCTCTTGCCCAGCGCCTTGACGAGGTCGCGACGAGATCCGCCGCCACCGCCCCCGCCGTCCGACCGATCGCTCGACTCCGCCTCGAACTTGCTCGACTGCTTCTTCGAGTCTTGCCGCTGGCTCTGCTTTTCCGTCTGGCACAAAAAGCGACGATAATCGATTAGACCGTGTCTCGAAGCGAATTCGACTTGATATTATCGCAAAGCTGCGTCTTACCTGGGCCGAAGTTGGCGGCTCGACGACGGTAGTGGCCGACGTGCTCGGCAGTAGGCCGCTCGACGACGAGGTGGCCGCCACTGCGCTCGTGGGCGTCCTCGGGCTCGGCTGCAGGTCGCTCATGCTGACCGATGACTCGAGGCCCACCGAGACCGGCACGATGCTCGTCACCGGCTGCTTCTTCGGGGCGTCCTCGGGCCGGACGCTCACCGCCGTGTTGAGCTTGCTCACGACGATGGGTGACGTCTGCGACGCTACGTTCGTCTGGTGAGTTATGAATACTCGCGGCGGGTGCGTTTGGCTCGACGCATTTGCTGTCGTTATACCGCTGAAAAGTCAACGAATTGCATTGCAACTGTGCTTTGACGTATACAATTATTTTGACTTTACCACTTGTGGATTTTCAAACAGAAATACTCGCCATCTAGTGGTGAGAACTTAAAGTGATATTATCGTATTTAAAATGGTTTAAAAATCATTTAAATTTTTTGAAATAATCATTTGTCATTTATACGTCATTTAAATTTTACTGTGTTATAAGTGTAACATTATTCTTATTGTAAACTTTTTTTATTCATTAGTCTATATCATTAATAATTCCAAATTTCTACCAGTGGCATAAAAAGAAATAAATACCCAGCAGAGGCCTGTTGAGCCGTGGCTCTGATCAAGGCGGCTTGTAGCAAGCTCGTGTTGAGGTTGGGCGCCTGATGGCCCGCGGCGACGTGCACCGGCGAAGAGGGCGTCGTCGAGAGAGGATTCGCCAGGCTGCAGGAGAAGGACGACGGTGGACTCTCGTAGGAGGGACTCGGCACGATGACCGAGCTCTCGTCCATGAAGCGCAGATCGGCCCCGTCCATGCCCTGCATTATGTCGTAGGTGGCCAGCTGACCCTCGGCCGTCACGTAGACGCTGCGCTGCTGCTGATGTCGGGCGCTGTCGACGCTCATCAGCGACGACGTGGTGGACGAGGTGTTCTGCTCGGACAGGGCCGGACTGCCCCGGAACTCCGACGGCGGTGGGATGATGCACGAGCTCGTCGACGGCGTCGAGTCCTTGGCTCCCTGCTGAGCTTGAGGTTGCTGCTGCTGCTGAGCTTGAGGCTGAGCTTGCGACTGGGTCTGCTGATCTTTCTTGGTCGCGTCGGCCGAGCGCACCGACGTCTCCGGCGTCAACGTCAGGCTACTCCCTGAATGAATATCGATTATCAAAATCCTATTTATAGGCGTGCGGCGTGCGCTACATCGACAGCGAGCTACATCGTCGTATACATGTATGCACAACGAGGAGTTTATCGGTTTTCGTGTAAAAATAACTCGTGCCCGACGCGCTCGCGACGTACACGTTATGAGCTCGAGTCGATCCGCATACACACACGTGCAAATAATTGTAAGCGCGGCTCCGACAAATCGACTCACCCCGGCTGGACTTTTCAATCTCCTGATTGCTGCTATCCACGCGATGACTGTGGGCCTCCTGGATCTTTGGCAGTGTCGAGTGCGCCGCGTTGGCATGAGCGGCGGCTGCGGCAGCCGTGAGACTGGCTCTGGGGGGCACGGGCGGCGGCTCGTTGTTGCGCTTATTATGGCCGATGGCGGCCGTGCCGCAGGCGGCGACCAGCGCGGTTATCGGCAAATTGACGTTGCCCTCGCCGCCGGCTTTGCCACCACCGCCACCGATAGGCATCATAGTGCCGTTGAGACGCGCCGCGCCCGGCGCGAAGGCGTGCATCGCCCCCGATTGCACCATTAGACCCGCTATCGACGACCTCTTGCGCAGACTGTTGAGGTCCTGCTGGTGCGAGCTCGCCTGGGGAGGATTCAGGGCCGTTATGCTCTCGTCGTCCGAGTCGAAGGCCGGACTGCTCGAGCGCTCGGACTTCTCGGCCTCGCCGGAGCCAGGCTCCAGCTGACTCTTGCCGAGGCTCTTGCCCGGACTCTTGTGCGGATCGATCAGTCGGCTGCGCTCGTTCACGTCGCCGGCGCTGCTGCTGGCCTCCTTGGATACCGCGGCCTGTGCCGCTGCCGCCGCTGTTGCGGCGGCCGACTCTTGACCCGTACTCGTGGCGCCCGTCGTGCCTCCTCCGGCTCCGCTGCTCGGCACCTTGGGCTTGTCCTGGCTCAGCAGAGTGCTCTGGGTCTTGGACATGCCGATGCCGGCCGCCCGACCCGCCATCCCCGACATGGCCCCGGCCGAGAGCGCCACCATCGACTGCATCTTACGCTGCTTGGCCTCGCTCTTTTTCTGCATGTCGTAGGCGGTCTTGTAGATACCACCGTAGAGCACGAACAGCACTATCAGGGTCGTCCAGTAGTAGCCGATAATCAGCGCCGTGTTGAACACCGGATCCTGCGTGATAACATGCAAGCCAATATAGGGATCAAGCCAAGGGGCGCACAAAAAACAAACGTTAAGCCTTATAGTAATTAGAAGCTGTTCAAACAACCCTGCAGAAATTTGCATCGCTTATCGATACGGCCGTATCAGGCGTGCGCGCAAAGCAGAGACGTTATAAATTAGCTGAGTCAGGTGTGCGTGAAGCTGCGAGAAAAATTTCGCCCGAGCGTAATGCAAGCTCTTTTTTTTTACTCCGGAGATACGATCGCATACGTGCGCTGCTTTGAGATTACATTTTTATTTTATCTGCGATATGTGCACAGCGAGTGCGTACGAGCTCCATATACATACATGAGTGGTAACGAAAACTTGATTCGATAAGCTGCTTCGTCGTGTGGTGCGTAAGAAAAAAAATCCCCTGGCATGGATCATTAAGTAAGGAGACAGATTTCCCTTGCAATTTGTTTCACGATATATTTGTTAACCAAAAACACCGCAGGCATGTACGAACAAAACGGTCTGATCTTCTATCGACAATCTTGCAAGTAAATTCAAATTGCTGATCTTACATTGTACATGAAAATATTACATTATATGCTAATCAGATATTTTTTGTCCACTTGCGCATTTTCAATACTCCATCTGTTGATAAAATTAAAAAACTCACAAAAATAAATGACCCCATTAATCAAGAAAAATCTTGTCACATTACTTAAGGAGATATGAAATATTGATCCTTTAATTTCCTTTAAAAAAATAACTCATCTTAAAAATAAATTCTGATAGGACAGTTTTTAAAAGTGAAACTTGAACAAAAGTTTGAAAAAAAAAATTTATAATTTTTTTGAAAAATTCATTTAATAAAATATACTTTTTACGTACCACTTACAAAGATATTTATAACCGTATGAATTATGAAAACATAAACTTTAGGGTTTCTCTTACTTTTCGAGTTTGGCACTTTCGAGCGCGGGTCAATCTCAGTACCCTAGCTAGCTTTCCAAAAAACGTCTCATAATAAATTCCCCATCAAAATTAAAAAATTAAAAACAAAAAGAAAAGGGAAATTCTCATAAACGTGCGATTACGCAAGGTCCAGCTTGCAGCTGGTGAAGCTTTCAGGGTACATAACATACCTTGAGGAACTGCACGGCGCACTGTCCGGGCGCCAGGTCCCGATAACCGACAAAGTGCTCCCAGCCGAAGATGCTGATGAAGAAGAGCAGCGCCGGTATGATCCAGGTGATGGTGACCATGTAGATGACGCGATTCTTGGTTCGCCAGCTACGGTACTTGGCGGCGATCTTGACGGAGCAGAAGCGGTCGATGGTGATGAGCAGCACTGTGTACTGCGAGACCAGGCAGACCGTGTAATCCACCGACAGCCATAGGTCGCAGAGCAGCGGCCCCAGATCCCAGTAGCCCTTCAGCACGTACACCGTGTAGAACGGCATCGAGAGCATACCTGCACACCCACACCCACACATATACATAAACATCGATTGTGGTACTGTTACCTTGTGAGCTGATCAGAATTTATACATGGGAATCGAACAGAGTCAGAGAGAGAAAGAGAGAGAAAAAAAAGATCGTGTTCAATATACGTGTTCACTGACCGATGAGCATATCGGTGGCGGCCAGCGAGGCGATGAAGTAATTACTCGGCTGCCTGATGGTGCGGTCAACGATGAAGGCCAGCAGGACGAGGATGTTGCCGCCGACGGTCAATACTATGCAAATCCCTAAGGCCAGCGCTATGAGTATCGTCTGCCACAGCTCGAACGGCGGCAGTACCGGCGTTAAAAACTCCTCACCTGCGAAAGTAAGTAACAAAATGTTCAACTCCGTGTGCACTCCATGTATACTATACATACATCCTCTCGTGAGGGCCGTGTACGCGTCACTCGACTTTGGCGAACGATCGTATTTTACCGACTGCACGACGAGAGACGTGTACCCAGGGTCGAGGGAAAGAGATGTAAAATTTTACTCGTGAAAAATAAAAGTTACGTCGCGAGCGTAGACTATAATGACTGTGCAGTTCCACGTGACCTTTCGTTTATGCGCGTACGATTGATATTTTGAAATTTGCCCGAGCGCACAGCTGTAACAGTGGATGCATATAATGAGCCGTACGACCACTATGGTCAAATAAGCAATGAAAACTATTTTGAATTTAGCCGACCGTAACTCGGAGCGAGCGCAAAATTCGTATGGCATTATACGTATTGTACATGAATTTGAATTTTTTCCCATTACTTTTATATTCAGTTACATTATTTCCGGTGAACGAGCAGCACGGGGAAAAGAGATCAAATGATTTTTTTCGTGCGCGAAATTCGAATGATAAAGTTGTAAAAAAAAGGAAAATAAGACGGGGAACGTACGCACACGCGCACGTACACTGGTAGTAAAAAATGATCGAATTAAAACTTGGGATCATTTTCGACTCGCGCGCGCGCGCGCAGTTGAAAGCAACGAAAGTCACACGGGCCGGGCACGCGCGCGTGTATGCAACTTCGTTTCGCGAGCGTCAAAAGTTTCGAAAGTGCAATTAAACTTTATAATTCAATTGATCGATCGATTGCAATTCGGCGGCGGCGGCGGCACTGTACCGAAAAAGGCGGGGGGGCGCACACTACACATGTATGCATGCATGCACGAAACGATACACAAGACAAACAACGAACCAATCTGGCTGGCGTTCGACAGCGACGTCGACAGGAGTGTCGTGACGTTGCCGGCGCTGCTCGCGTTGAAGCCGACCTGAAAGTCGGCCGGAAAGATAGGCTCATCCTCGTCGTCGTTGATGGCGGCGACTTCGTTGCTCCAAGTGTTGGGCGACGAGCGGCTCCTTTCGATGCAGTCCATTAGTGCCTTGTCGATGACGTAACGGCAGAGTTTCTCCAACTGCTGAGGCAGTTGCTGCTGCTTCTCCAATTTCCTGCTCAAGGGGAAAGAAAACGGAAGACGAAGACTCGTTTATTATTCGCTCATCGCACAGTTTCTTTTTCTTTTTTTCCTACTTCTTTTTTTTTTCATTTATTTCCCATCTTTCCAGCTTCTATTTTTATATCTCTCTATCTCCTGCTCGAGCTATATTATAATTGCCCAGAAGAAGTTTTTCACAATTCAGTTTTCTTGTTTTCCTTTCTACCGTATTGTCTCTTTGAGGGTATGTATATATGAAAGGGGGGGAGAGAGAGAGGGAAAAACTTTTATCATGCTTCGATGACACTGCAACTAGTCTAAAATCGGCATTAATTGCGGCTCTGTGAAAATATGATTATGGCAGTGAGAGAAAAAAAAACAAAAGAAATTACAAATTAACGGCTAAAGTGGGAAATTATTCCCCGTTAAACTTCATGAACGAATAAGATTTCGCGCAAAAGGCAAGTCGAGCGCATCGTCGTTAAATTCCTCAACAAAGTTTCAACCTGAAAACGACCTCCTCCCAAAATGTTGGGAAACTTACGAAAATATATATGCATTACTACGATTCGAATGAGGTAAAGGGGCATAAGTTTTCACGTGCAAACAAGGGAATGATCTTCGTTTAAAATATCAAGCTCGCGAAAGACGCACGAGAGAAACGCGGGGGGCAGAGCCGGGCGTAAAGCAGGTTCTCTGTCAACTTGTGCACACACACACGCGCACTTACACAAAAAGTAGTTTAGTCCAGAGAAAAAAAGCGAGCTGGCCTAAGCAAAGTCAAAGAACGCGAGGTTGAATGCACGAGCCCAGCCATGAATGCGCGCCGTCGAAAGAGCCAGAGAAAGATAGAGAGGGAGAGAGATCGACGACCAGTGGCTCGAGCTTTAAAAGCTCGCCAGTTGTATGAGAGGGATTTTAATAATTCAAAACGTCGATTGCGCGCGCGGCGTCGTGTGCAGTACCTCGCGCGCGGCCCCGCAGACTCGCAATAATCTCGGGCAAGGGTTGAAACTCATCCGCAAGAGCTCCGAGGTCATAAAACAAAAAAAAAAAAAAAGGGGAAAAAAAAGAAGAGTGTACGCGCGCCGAGAGCTCGAGACACACATTTCTACTTACGCGCTAGAATCCTTTTGTGGGTCCTTTTTTTCGAGAGCAGTAGCGCAGGCATGATTGCACGCGTGTTTTCCGCTACTCGTGCCGCTACTATATACGGCAAACATGCCCCTGCACGCGCGTGCCGCGGCTCTTTGTGTTTATCTAATCCTTTGCATACCATTTTTTTTCCCCCCAACATTTTCCCGAGCGAGCCGTATACGCTTATACCGTATAATAATGCTTACCAAAAGCTTACGCCGGATATTGCTCGCCAATATTTCGAGATTAATTTTGCGCAAAGTGCGCGCGCGCAAGCTGCGGATGTTATTATAAATTACACACTCGCCGATTTCATACTGTTGAATGCCACCTCGCCGACTGACGAGTAAATATTCATGGAGTTATTAAATACCAGCACAAATTTGTATGTAAACGTCAGTATGTGTACGCCACAACTCCGCTTCGAATCGTACTTTGCCGCGTATATACGTACGATCTGCATAAATGACCCAACTGCGCAAAAACAGAAATCGAACGTTACTCACCCACATAGCATGAAAGCTTCCCGTGAAATCTTTCAACAAAGCTTCCCATGAAAGATTCCAGAAAGTTTTCAGAAAGTTTTTTTTTTAGCTTCCCAGAAGCATACTGGAAAAGCTTTTATGAAATCTTTTCGGAAGTTTCCTGAAAGGTTGCAATAAAGATTTCATAAAATGTTTTTTTGAAGGTTTCATTAAAACGTTCGGGAAGCTTCCCTAATCCTTCTAGGTATGCTTCCATGAAACCATTCTAGAAGCATCAATAAAAGCTTGAAGGAAGCTTTACGGAAATTTACGAAAAAATTTCAGGGTGCTTTCCAGAAAGTTTTCATGGAATCTTTCTAAAAGTTTCCTGAGAGGTTACAAAAAATGTTTCTCAAATTACTTTTTTGAAAGTTTCATTTAAAATTTCAGGAAGCTTCCCTAATTTTTCCAGGGATGCTTCTATGAAACTATTCTAGAAGATTCAATAAAAGCTTGAAGAAAGCTTTTCAGACACTTTTAAGGAACTTTCAGAAGACTTTCCAGAAATATTCCATGGAAGCTTCTTGAAAGTTTTCTGAAAGATTGCGAGAATGGTTTCATGGAGTCATAAGTAAACGTTTCATCGAAGCTTTCAGGAAACTTTCTTAGAAGTTTCTATGAAAGTTTCCTGAAAGGTTATTTCGAAAGTTTCAGTGAAACTTTCGAAAAGCTTCCTACATACTTTCGAACAAGTTTTTAGGTTCATGAATCGCCAACAGGTGGCGTATACATAAATTTATCGAACTCCCAAGTGGGTAACAGGAAATTTTTATACAAGTACTAGCTCCTTGACTGCGAATTTTTAACTTTCGAAGTCTTCATGAAGATTTTTCAAAGTTCTTTTGACGAATACTCAGTTATTCGAGGAGGTGTTCATCTCCGAACTTTAAGATAAATTAATTTTCTCATTTTTTTTAAATTACGATGAGCTTATCATGTAAACAATCACATGACTTTGCAGTGAGTTTACCCAAATAAGTGTCTGTAACCTTGCCAAGAAAGATTTATAAATACATTTTGAGGACCTTTCCAACGACTTTCAAGAAAGGTCTCTGGAAGTTTTCATGAAATCACTGAAGAATCTTTCATGAAAGTTTTCTGAAACTATTTTGTCGCGGACATTTTCAGCTTTCCGAAAGCTTTCTGTGGAAGCTTCCAAAAAACTTACGAGAATTCGTTCAGGAAACTTTCAAAAAAGCTCTCTGGAAGTTTCCATGACATCTCTCAGGAAACTTTCAAGTAAGTTTTCTGAGACTATTTTGTCGCGGACATTTTAAACTTCTTGAAAGCTTCCATGAACGCTTCCTGGAAGATTACCAAACTTTCTTGTAAAGCTTCCGAAATGCTTTCAACAAACTTTCATGCTATGTGGGCAATAATCATAAAGGTGGAAAAGCTTGAACGACTCAAGTTTTCCAAATGAATCATTTAGTCGGAGTTTTCGATACGGAATAACAAATCGAGCGCTGAATAATAAGCCGCAACTCTTTCCCCAACTGCGAAAAAGCTTTATTATTCATACCGATGAGCTGAGTTATTTATCGTAATAATTCAAGAAAGACAAGCCGCTTTTGTGTTTGTACAATCGTGGAACGTTCCGCGGGCATTAAATTCATGGAGAAAAACTTGGGCAATACTTTAATAGTTAAAAAAGTTTAATCAATAATGCGCCAGTTTCTGACCATTTGAATTATTTCAGTGTAGGCATATTGTACGCGTATTTTACCTTTTTGTCGATGCGAACATATATCTCTATTCGTAAAAAGTTTTCTACGATGCTGTTTAACAGTAGTAGCAGCTGCTGCTGCAAAAAAGACCGTGGCATCTATTGTTTATTCGATGCCTGCTAGCATTTCACAGCGCGCAAAAAAGTAGATCAAGCCTCGGCGCATCTTTGCACCATCGCAGATCTCTCTCTCTCTCTCTCTCTTAGTCGGGAGTTGAAGTGAACATTTCTTTTCAAGTACGAAATCATCGCGTAGTGCGATTCTTAGCTTTGCTCCGCGATGCGCAAAATACAATGGAAAATATGGAAGAAAAAATTTTCATATACCCACTGTAAAGTATCGCTCGCCTCTCTTGTAACGAATAAAAATACGAAATAATTTAATGGACAAGTTTCAGTTCAGGCCTGTGTGTGAAACTACTTGAAAATTGGAGTCCTGTTTGCATTGGATTTTAGCTCTCGGTCGCTGAGTTAACTTGAAAATTTTCGATATAAAAACTTACTGCGCAAACGAAATAGTTTTGATTCAGTTGAACGATAGCCTTCTTTTTTACCGTAAAAAATTTGCCGACGATACATGCGGAGCGTAAAAATTATATAATTAATTTAACCGTTTGCATGCTTCATTTTGTTACTGCTCGGATTTTGATTTTTTAAATTCACATCGCGGTGAACCAAGACATTGTTCTGCTCTCCCTTGAAAACTCTAAAATATTTCAATCATTTCAACATTAATGCACTAGCTCTGAAGCCTATAGCAATAGTGGCGGCGGCGGCGGCGGCGTTGGCGCTTACAGTAATAAAAGATAATGTAAGGCACAGAAAGAACTCAGCCAAGCCTGCATTGGCACACAAAGACACAGATGAGTCGAAGACGAACTTTTGCACTGCACCTACGACCCAGCATCTATATTTCAGTTCCGCGAAAAACCTCAAAAGAACTGCGCCTCTGTCTCGCATAATGAGCTGAAACCCTGCAGATATATGCGCGTATTTAAATAATGATAAAGAGAGAATGAAGAGAGGAACTTGCCTGATAGATTTCGACTATCAAAGCTTGGGCGAACGTGTGTGTCTGTGTGTATGTGTGTATTCACCTATTGAGAAATAAACACAAATATCAACGCCAAAAGACAAGACAATAGTTTGAAAATATTTATATGCACTCGTGAGTAAAGAGAATAAAAAAAAACCGAAAGATTTTTGGTCTCGATGATGCAAACATGAAAAAGATCTACAATATGAAAAAGACCAAAGAGAAGAGAAAGCAGCAGGCAGTATTACCAAAAAAAGACAAATAATAAAAATAGGGCCAAAGAGAGAGAAGGGAAGAGAAAGAGAGGCAGAGCAACAAGTATCTTTTCTCCCTCATAGTCTCTCCGTCTCTGTTTCGCCCACGACTGGATAGACTTTTCACAATGCTCATTCTCGCTCGAAAAGCTCTATATATGCCTGCCGCGCTGATACGTATATGTATATAGCTTAACTGTTGCGCCAACCGTGGGCTATCTTGTGCGCTCGTTTTCATGCTCCTCTCTTGCGCGAGCAGAAATATATAGAAATTTATATACGTTTGTAAGCGACCGAAACAGCGTCCGAATTTTTCGACTACTTTTTTAATTAAAT